CTCGCCGGATGATATCAAAGTTGTTGCTGATTCTGTCGCTGCTGTGGTACTTCAGGGAATGGAACTTTTTATTCATCGGAGGCAAAACTCAGCCATGGTTTGGTCACTACAGTAAAATTGCTTCACGCCATAAGCGGGAGTGCTACCGGCCCTGGACTGATGCATCATTGTTTCGGGATGCAAGTACCAGTGCTCTTAAAAATAAATATTATTCCACCTCCGGCTGCTTCAAAAATGTCATTACCAAGGCAAAGTCAGAGCACATCGGTAGAATTGGTAAGAAACTAGCTCGACTTTCTTCGGGAACACGTGCATTCTGGTCTCTCGTCAAGGCTGTTAAAAGGAACTCTCTTCGATCTCTGCAGAGGGAGGATGATTCGTGATCATACCTCATAATACTGACGCTCCTGTTCCCCGTTGCCTCACCATCACCTCATCGACGTTACGGCCCCATCAGCGTCGCATTGGATAGGGTTAGTGGCGCATCACCATAACAACTCTCCTCTTCCCCCGCGACTCCACCTCGTTTGCAGTGGGATGGGGGAGAGTGCACTCCTCCACACCGCCACAGTCCACCAACGTGCATTTGGAGTGGACTAAGTAAGTACAAACAGTCTAAGCAACAGTGTACAACCTGTGTACGCTGCCAGTAATGACATACGGATCTGAGACATGGTTTTACTTTCTTCTGATAGGAATGGAAGTTTGGCCGTTAATTTTTTTTTATAGAATTAGGATGACTAACGAGCACACAGTCCTTCTGATGATAATTGTTTGCTGTGGCCCAAAGACATGTAGATGTAGATGTAGATCTGTCTTCGTTTGCGAATTAAAATGCAGATTGCCGACCAAATGATGTGGAAGGAAAATGGGAAATCTCCCACCGGGCATGCTGTTCAACTCGGCGAGCAGTCAATACTCTGTTTGTTATTTCGAATCTGTTCTTTATATAGCCCGTTTAGTGCAGAACTTTGATTATCATTATTAACAGAGCGACGACAGCGCCGCCGCATCACCTCCGTGCTCAGACGAATATGCAAGTGCCAGGAATTTTCTTAGTCTGCGATGACTCGAAAAGAAGGCAAGTAATCTGCGCGAGTGCCGTGAAGCAGAGGCGTGCAGTAAGACTCAGAGCCGTTCCAAACACTGTAGCGCAGAAAGTAGCTTAAGGAGCAGGAAACATTATTCCAGTACTGTAATGAATTTGTACAGATAGATGCAGGCTTGCCGGATCTGAAGACTGTAGACAATATCTGCTCGGGAATGAATGAATGGGGTACTTAAAGATGATGGCGAAAGTTTTAAATTGAAGTTTCCGAACTTGTGATTGTACATAAATATACGCGGCTTAAGCTACTGTCACTGATATTACAAGATAGTTGAAATGTTGTATTAGACGCATCAACATTAGACTTCTAAGTGAATATACGTTTTTAAATATAACTCACTATTGGTAATTATCGCCATGTCGTGTAGTGGCGGTCAAGAATATCCACTACCCTATATCTTCCCGTGGGTGTCGTAAGAGACGACAGTGGGAAACAGGCAGGAGATGGGCAGCAGCATCTTCCTGATAACAGCAATATTACAATAAAAAAACTGCGATTGCCAACCCGCTCGCCAAGCGTGGCAACTATGGCAAATATCCCCCATGATGAAAGTTACAAAGAGACGGCCCCCAATCCCCGGTGGCCCCACTATTCCTGGGTACGGTGGCGACCATGGTAACGGTGGGTCAGGGAGTGTAAAGAATCTCCGGTGGAGGTTCGGTTGCCATCTAAGACGACTCGACCTGGCAACTTACAACACACGCACCCTGAGGACTGACGAGAAGATCGTGGAGCTGGAAGAAGAGATAGATAAGTTACGCTGGTATATTATAGGATTATCCGAGGTCCGAAGAGAGGGGGAGGACACGGTAATCCTCGAATCCGGCAACTTGTTCCATCACCGGGAGTACGACCATCTGTCCCAAGGACGTGTCGGATATATCATCCACAAGTCTCTTGTTAACAACGTTGTAAAGATTGTGAGTGTGTTGACGAGGGTTGCGTACCTTATACTCAGAATTACCAAACGGTATTCGTTGAAGGTCATACAGGTTTGCGCACAGACCTCGGCATATCCCGTTAAGGAAGTGGAGGAAATGTATGAGAATATCTCTAAAGCCATGCATTCCTCCAAAACCCACTATACGGTGTTAATGGGAGACTTCAATGCAAAACTAGGCACAAGAGAGAACGGTGAGCTGAAGGCAAGGAAATTCGGAATAGAGCAACGGAACCCAAGGGGCCAGCAGCTGGCCGACTTCATGGAGAAAGAGGGACTCTTTATGATGAACTCTTTCTTCCAGAAGCGGCCCCACAGGAAGTGGACCTGGTCGAGCCCCGACGGTTTGACATAAATGGGATTGACTTCATTATGACAATTAGATGACACCTGTTCAGTGATGTCTCAGCGATCGCGAGGGTGAAAACTGATAGCAATCACAGAATGATTAGAGGCACACTGAATCTAAACGTTAAGTTGGAGAAGTCTAGCATAATGAAGTCAACGCTCCGTCCCCCTCGTGCTCTAATCCAAAGTCCCGAAACCTTTCAGCTCGAGTTAGAAAACCGTTTTCAGTGCCTAGAAGACTGCAATGAAGTGGACGAAATGAATGATAAGCTCGTGGAAACTGTTCATGCGGTCGGAGCTAAGTTCTGCAAGACCCGCCGCAGAAGAACACAAAAACTTTCCAATCACACTCTTAATCTCATGGCTGTTAGACGGGATATGAACCTACATTCTTCAACAGATTTGACAGCATACAGGCAACTGAACAGACAGATCTCCAAATGCATGCGGCGGGACTTACGCATCATCAGTACAGCTTATATTGAAGAAGCTATCGAGCGGAACCAAGGCTCCAAAATCTTTGCCAGAGATCTGTCTACCAAAAAGAGCCAACTGTCAAAGCTGAAGACCGAGTGTGGCAGCATCGTTTCCGGGACACCTTAGATTTTGAGTAAGATTGAGAGGTTCTATGGGCAGATGTACACGTCATTGTTGGAGCCACAGGCAAGTGTGAGAAACGATCCAAGAGCGAGTCTTATCCGACACCATTCCGAAGATATTCCAGACGTCAGTCTGAGCGAGATTAGAATGGCTCTCCAGCATTTTAAAAACGGCAAGGCCCCAGGTGAGTATGGAATTACAGTGAAGCTTCTGTAAGTGGGTGGAAAACCAGTACTTGAAGTTCTTCAGAAGCTTTTTAATTACGTCCTCCATGGTGGCATTACTCCGGAGGCGTGGAGTAGAAGTGCGGTGGTCTTGTTCTTCAAGAAAGGCGACAATGCTCTCTTGAAGAACTATAGACCAATTTTCTTTCTGAGCCGCGTCTAAGTGCTGTTTTCGAGAGTCATTACGAATCGTTTCGCAAGCAGATTTGACGACTTCCAGACTACTGAACAAGCAAGTTTCCGAAAAGGCTTTCATACCATGGACCACACACACCCTTCGGCAAATTGTATAGTAGACAGAAGAGTACAATCTGCCACTTTGCCTTGCGTATGTAGACAATGAGAAAGCCTTTGATGAATTTTGGGTGGTGCTATAGTCCCTTCAGCGGTGCCAAGTTGACTGTCGGTATATCGAGGTGCTGAAGCGCTGCAGAGAGCTGTAAGACAGGGTGACGTCATATCCCCGAAACTCTTCACCACTGCATTGGAAGACGTTTTCAAGCTACTGGACATGAAAGAATATGGCTTAACATCAATGGCGAATACATCACTCACCTTCGATTAGCCGACGATATAGTCCTTATGGCAGAATAGAAATCTACGCTGGAGGACCTAAGCACTATACTCAATGATCCCAATAGTGTCTCCCAACGAATTGGTCTTAAGATGAACATGGACAAAACAAAGATAACATTTAATGTTGGGAGCACTAAGCTTGAAGTTGTTGACGAATATATTTACCTGGGACCACTAGGTAAGTCCAACTTCGACCGAGAGGTCAATCGACGGATTCAACTCGGTTGGGCAGCGTTCGGAAAAATATGACACATGTTCTCGTCAGGTATACCTCAAAACCTAAAAACGAGATTATACAACCAGTGCGTGTTGCCAGTTATGACTAATGGATCTAAGACGTGGCCCTACACTGCTGGCCGTCTGAGGACGTCCAAGGTTGCTCAGCGAGCTATGTAGAGGGCTATGCTCGGTGTTTCTCGCGTGATAAACTCAGAAATGAGGATATCCGCAGAGATATAAGCTGAAGTGGCAATAGGCCGGCCATATAGCTTGAAGAATCCACAACCGATGGGGAAGAAAGGTTCTCGAGTGGCAGCCTCATACGGGTAGACGAAGTGCAGGGCGACCCCCCACTAGATGGAGTGTCGACCTGGTAAGACATGCAGGTAGTCGATGGATGCAGGTGTCTCAGGACCGTGCTTTGTGGGATTCCTTGGGGGAGGCCTATGTTCAGCTGTGGACTTATGAAGGGCTGTAATGATGATGATGATGATGATTGGTAATTACAATAAAAGAAAACAATATTATTACTAATGGGATTTTTTGTGATTTGTAATTACAATTTTTAAATAGAAAGTAATACAAACCGATAAGTGACGCAAATATGAGTCTCTGAGAGATTACTACACATTTGTGCCATTTGCTGTAGATATTATCGTTCTATAGGGTCGGGAGTCCGCGTGCGGCTGAGTTTCTAAAGGAACTGTATCCGCAATTGCGTGACTGGTCGTCGCTGCTGGTGATAAGAGGGCTGGATCTTTTCTCACTCAAAGGCGAAGTATAGCCATTCAGCGAGGAAACGCAGCCAGCGTTCTTAGCGCGATATATAGAGGTATCTATGATAATTTAAGGTTTTAGTTTATTTTATTATAGTTTAATATTGTATAAATTTCAATGTTGTGTAAATAACGGTATAAATAATAACAGAATAAAAACCGATAAAACTAATTTAATTATTTTGGCACATCCCTACGGTGAATGTGAGAGAATGATAAAATGGTGTATTCGTTGATCAAACCGGGCCACACATTTGAAGCTAGAAATTAAATTAGACATCCACCATTTTGTTTATTTTCGTGAAAATTCTTTTTCACCTTGAAGCTATAGTGAAATTTGGTTACCCTGTCTTATGATACTGCAAAAAAATATAACTGGCAATGATTATTACAATAGGAATGTGCTATTAGCGTACATTATTATTGGGCCCTTTTGTTGAAATTTGCAGACATCGGCCGCGCCGCTAGTAAACACTCTTTTAAAATTAACACCTTGTCCTCAAAAAACAACAAAATCCCGGATTCACAGAGCATCCGAATCAATGAGAAAGGTTCTTTGAATTTTGTTCAACGCATATTTAGCAGAGGTAAAGGGAGTGATCCTCTAGCGTTAAAGGTAGGTCCTGTGCAAATAATCAAACATCGGAAGTTATTCAGCTTAGAAATGTGTTTCGAAATTTGTATGGTGGATACTAATTGTTCAGGAAATTTCGAGGAGTTGTGGGCGACAGTCTCCGGTGGCGCGCCCGGCTAACATGAATCACACGCCTGCCCCGGACAGGCAGCAGAAAGACTCCAATGTTAATCAGGTAGAGGAGATGGAGACGCAAGAAGGTTAGTTACAATAATTTTGCCATGACATTATTTGTTCTGCTAAATTTAATTAATGGAGTTCCTATTCTAAGTTGTGTGTGACAATTATTATTTGAGAAATGGCATCAAATGTTTTTAATGATCATCATAGTTTATTTAAATCAAAATCATATATATCTAAAAATGTATATATTACATTCCCAATTTTGTTCACTACATTACTTTCTGCATAATAAGCTCAATTTAACACTTACATTACCAGCTTTCAAGAAATAGTAAAATTATCTTTCTAATGAAAATAGTTTTTTCTTATACTTCCTTTGTTAAGATTATGAAGCTTGTCCTATCATACATCATCTAAATTTAGATCGCTTTGTTTTTGATGATCATTTAAAATGTAGCCATATTTTTATACAAGTGTTGCTGATTTGATTTTGCTTTTATCTGGAATATTTTAATAGCTTTTGACATTTTTCAGTCTATAACTCAGTAGTGTGTTATATGTACTTTGTTGCATTTATTTAGTATTTGAAATTTAAATGTGCATATAATTAATTATAAAATATAAGAAATTACATATTTATTAACCTTTTAATTATATATAAGTGTTAAAGGCATGAAGATAGTTTGAAGGAAATATATAAAATAAATAACTAACAAAATAACTTTAATGTTTCCTACACAAAATATTTTGCTATAACAGCTGAAATACAGACTAATAACTTTTATATAATCAAAAATATGCCCATACTGCCAAAGCAAGATTTATTTTTTGTTGTTATTGTACCTATAAGTTAACAGACTGGCTGTCATTTTTAAAAGTATTTTTGCCATGATGTCACATAATTTCAGAATGTCATAAAAACAATAGTTATTTTGTTTCCAAAGTAGTTAGTCCCTAATTTATTGTGTGTTTAATTTATCAGTTAATTACATTAAATCATGTAAGTTAAATTAAACTTCAAGAGAAGAAATAAAACTAAAAATATGAATGTTTCAGTGGAGACTGTAGACACAGCTACTGGAAAGATTTGGGATGAAGAATTTATGAAAGAATCTAATGGTGAGGTTGTAATGAGTGAAGTCATGAAGAATCAAGAAACAACATCCTCTGAAATGCCGGTGAGTTTTAACTTGAATATAATATTTTATTGATTCTCAAACACTTATTAAAGTAAAATAATATAATTCTGTGAAAGTTAAAAAATATATATAGAGCCTAATTTTGCAATCATCAAATAAAAGTTAGCCATCAACTAAATAATAACCTGACTGAATATAAAATTGAAAAAATTGAACTATATTTTTGCAACTGCAATTTTTAATTTGTTTATATTTTATTTCATCATCAGTTTTCAAAAATTGTGATATTGAAGAGACTGCTGAAAGTAATTAATTGATATATAAAGAAACAGATTTCGTGACAGATTCGATGTAATTTATCACCTCACAGTGTTATAATTTCTGGTTAAAAATACACACATGGAAAAAATAATAAGAGTCAACGTAGTTTTAGAAATGGTAATTATTTATTGGGGTAAATAAACAATGGCACATTATAGTTGATTAACAATAATAGTATGATAAAGAAATTTAATAACTGTGACACCAACAGCATTTATCACAGCTTATGGAAATATTTAATATATGCATGAAAAGTTGATTGGTAATGCAATTATACAAATAACATTTCAAGAATAAAATAAATCTTTTTAAATATACAGTCAAAACCGGATATAGTGACATTGAAGGGACCATGTAACTTCGGATGTTATATACGATAGTTGTTATAAGCAATATACACAAGTATACAAACATAAAAATATTTATTCTGAAATACTTGCAGGAACAACAGTACAGCGTATAGACTACAATTAGTTTTTAAAGTAATCAGTCATTTTGGTCTGTTTTTTTTTAAGCCGAGTCTCAAATGTGTTTTGCATTTTACGTTTTATTCTTGTCAAGATTGCTTGATTATCATCAGCATTAAACTCTTCATTAAAATCAACAACATTTTGTAAAACTATTATAGCATTAACAGCCTCGCATAGTGTTGTTGGTTGGTACTGCTCTTGGGGGTCTTCGTTTTCTTCATCAGTGTTATGATTATTATTTTCAACTTCTGCAAGAATCTCTTCCTCAGTAACTATTGCATACACGTCAACATTGTCATCTATTCTAATAAATTCCTCTATTTCAATCAATGGTTCTGTGGTAGTAGATCTGTGTAATTGAGCAGCCAATTGAGGTAGTGGTAAGTTGTCATCTTCATCTGTAGAAGATTTTATCATTTTTCTCGCTAACGGAATATCATCATCGTCCTCCTTTAGTGATTGAGAGAGATCTTTAAAACCTGCGTGGCGAAAGCAATTCGCTATGGTGGTATGTGTGATCATTAGAATTGCATCTAGAACGCTAAGAGTTTTTGTATCTTCGCCGTTTTCAATATTCTGAAGCATTTGGAGTACTTGAAGTTTTCTGTATGTGTTTAAAGCTTTTATCACTCCTTGGTCCATGAGTTGTAATACAGAGGTGACATTGGGCGGTAAAAAAAACAAGTTTTATGCATTTTAGATTGAGGACTACAGGGTGAGCAGGACAGTTGTCTACTAGAAGAAGAATTTTGTTTCCTCTAGATTTCAATTCTGCATCAGTCATCACCAGTTTCGCAGCCATTTTTCAAAAATAAGCGAAGTCATCCAGGATCTAGTGTTGTTTTCATATGTTACAGGCAACCAGTGTATGTTCTTAAAGCAACGCGGTTTTTTTAGCTTTTCTAGTCTCTATCTATCACTAATAGTTTTTTTTTACACGATCCAGTCATGTTCGCAGCAACCAACACTGTAATTCTGGTTTTAGACAATTTCCCACCCTTGCATTGCTCACCTTTGAATTTTAGTGTTTTGTCAGGGGTTAAATTAAAAAACAATCCGGTTTCATCCGCATTAAAGATTTCTTCTGGTTTGTATCGTTCACACAGTGTAGTGTAGTTCACACCACTTATGAGAGAGCCACTCTTCAGTCACATCTTCAGGAACGCCAGCCGCTTCACCACAAAGTTTTCCAGCCACAATATTATGACGAGCACGAAAACGTTGTACCCAAGACGACGAGCACTTGCAATTTTCCTTCCCCATAAGCCGAGCGAAGTCGTTGGCTTTTTGTTGCAGGATCGGACCACTTATTGGGACGTTGTTTGCCCTCTGATGTTTAAACCATGTTAATAAAGCCTCTTCCATAACTTTATGTTCAGATGTCCTCGATCGTTTAATTTTCAAAGAATTTTCCTCGAAAAGAGCTTTTATTTCATCTCTATTCTTCCAAATCGTTGATATTGTAGAGTGTGAGACTCCATATTCTTTTGAAATTTCACTATTTGAATCGCCATTTTGCAACCTCCATATAACGTGTGACTTTTCTTCAATACTAAACACTTTCCTCTGTTTTTGTGACATGGTAAAACGAAAACAACACAATCAAAATCAAAACTTTCAATTCAACCTTTGATTCACGCTGTTAACTATCGCACTAAATAAGTTGTGGAACATGCAAGGACAAATAGCAAAGAGCGCGCAAGAGGTTCGGGGTGGGAGAAAGTGCATAGGCAATAATACGTTAAAACTTTCCATACATAGATTAGAATAAGTTTGAAAATTGTTCGTATTGTTTTATTGTTTTATTTTACAAGCACAACGGTTGGTCGTTATAGCCGATGAATATCGATAAAGTTCCGTCATTCTAAGCGATATGTCCCTGTATCCGATGTTGTTATAGGCGGTATGTTTACTTAACTGTTTATTAGGGATTCGGCTGGGACCTTACCATTCGGTCGTAATAACCGTCGTTATTAAACGATGTCGTTATATTCGGTTTCGACTGTACCTACTAATATTTGATGCCACGGTGTATACAGAATTAAAGTTGATACTGTAAGGCTGAATAATTTAATACAGAGGGGAATGTTTATAGTAATCGGTATGGTAGAGAGCTGTTGCAAAATTGACAAGATTACTTATAATGCATTCTATGGGGTATTCTATGTCAAACCTTATTAATTAAAGAAATACAATTGTATCTATTATGGAAAAAGTCATTTATCAACATTGTTTCAAGCTTTTTTTCTTAATCTTGATGTTAGTACACAGGTGATATTATCAAAAAGTTTTTTGTAGGATAAACAATTTTGATAACATTTTATATGTACTCCCAACTGTACAGAATTTTTTCTGAACATCTTCAAGAATTAGAATATATTTGATATAAAAGGATTCTAAATTCCAAATGTTCACCCTTAGAAAGTAAAGTTATATGCTTTTCTTACTGCACAACTGTCCTATATGTTATAAAATATACTGTGTTTCCTGTACCTTCTTGTCAATTAGACATTAGAAAGAAAATTTCCATTTTTTTTACCCCGTTTTTTCCTCTTCATGTACAGAGTGAAACATGAATTTTTTATTCATATACGTCCTGAGAATGACGGGTCTTGCTTGTGAAAGATTTCCAAGTAAGAATGGATAATAGATTGAAGTTGGTTGTACAAAATTTTTAATTATTTTAATTTGTTACTTACTATGGAAAAAAAAAAACAATAAAATGAATACATACCTACTTACTTTTCCTGACAGATCATAGAATTTCCATCAACATCATCACCTGATACTGCTTATTGTTTAAAATAAATATTGTAGTTTAATTATACAGTAAAAAAGTATAAAATAATAAGAAACATAAAAAAAAAAGCTTTTCAATTATTATTTGTTCAAAAATATTTAAAGAGATTAAATAAACCTCGCAAGCTAACAGCATAGCAAAGTGGCGAAGCAATCAGCTTTGTAGCGGTTTCTAACGGTTGCCGTTGAGCAATCAGTTTCAAACTAGGAGGTTCAGATGCCTGGGTGATCAGTAATCAATTGCTGAAAACAGAATTTGAAAATTCGAAACCTTTCTCGAGATAATCGTGGGACAGACGGACAGACATCGTGAAATCAATAAGTGACTTCGCAAGCTTCGCCACTTAATAATTTAGAATTTAAAAATTTGTACAACAGACTTTAATATAAATGATTAAGAATAACTCAAAATCTATTGGTCAGACCTTGATCAAATTTATATGGAGCCATATGAGAAGCATCAGCTTTAAAATAAAAAAGAATCATCGAAATCGGTTTAACCAGAAAAAAGTTATGAGTTAACACAAATAAAAGAAAATTACATACAATAGAATTGAGTACCTCCTTCTTTTTGAAGTTGGTAGAAAAATAGGTTTTTCATGTAAATACATAAATCAGATATTAAAGTAGTGTAAAAAATTATTTAGATCTGTGGCACATAACTATGACCAGGAAATCGCAACCTAGTTTAGGTTTGGTTATTAAATACTGGCTAGAAGGAGTGACAACCTGATATGACATGCAGAAAGTTGATGGATGCAGGTGGCTCAGGACCGTGCTTTTCGGGGGGAGGCCTATGTTCAGCAGAGGACTTGTGAAGGGCTGTAATGATGATGATGATGATTAAGTACTGGCATAAGCTTTTATGACAATTTTGATTTATTCAAATTCAAAGTAAACAATTTAATATTAATAATGTAAATAACTTTTAAAAAGTATCATAGTAGTATAGTTCTACTATCTATTTATAACTATGCTTCAATTGGATAATGTGTTTATTGATTTATTCCACCTGTTCATGTGATTTAGTTTATTAAGTGGCTTACACTGTGTGGTGCTTTATTGTATCAAGTGTCATAAATGTTTTTTTTTTTAATGTTATTAGAAGAAAACCAAAAGACATTAGTAATCAGATTGGTCCTATTACTTTGATGGACATATTATGATTCAATGGTAATGTGCTGTTTTTAAATTCATCCATGCCAATGTTTGGAGAACAAATATTGGAGTAAATATTTCCATAAATTTATAAAATACGGTTTTCTTTTCTAATTATTAACTTGTTATTTTTTCTAATCAGTGTAGTAATTAACTATTTTTATAATTTGCTATAATAACTGCACTGATCATCACAACATACAAGAAGTCTGTTGATAATATAATAAATATATCTTTTGTTTCATATTTAGTTATACTAAATGTGAGGAATTTACAGTGTGTATGACTGGGTTTAGTTTGTAATTATTAAAGCTACTTATATAATAAAATTACAAGTGATCCGAATAGTATGCAACCTTCTTGATTGTAAGTAGGGACTGATGACAAAATACACAGTGCCAACTTGTCACAAAACATATTGCATGATCATTGATCACCCTGCGGACTAAAAGTGCCTGGAATTATTTTTTTTATTTATAATTAGTTAGTATACTAATTGTAAAGAATTTTTTTTATTTGACTACATTTATTTCTATTTCAGCTTGTATGACTGGGATTAGTTTGTTACCAATAAAGCTAAATAATAAAATTGTAGTAGTTACTGCAGACATTTAACAGTGGTAGAGCCACGTGGCAGCTTTTGCTGTCACATGGATGGGCCGGCTCGAACCGGGGTGGTACCACAACCTCACAGAAAACCAGCGTGAAGTAGAGGTTTACCTCTGCGTTTCGCTTGGTGAGTGCAGGTGGCCGGAGGCCCTTTTTACTGGAAATGAGGCATTCCATCTTAGTCCTCACGGGTGGCGATGCATCTACATTTTGATTTGTAATAGAGGATAGATGTAGATTTCTATCGGCCGCAGCAACCACTTACCATCAGGTGGACTGTGTGCTCGTTTGTCACCCTTATCCTATAAAAAAAAAAGACAAAATACACATACTGCCAACTCAAACCAAAAAATACTACCCCGAGGGCTAAAATTAAGCGCCTGGCATTATCCTAACTATGTTAAATGCTTGAAAGAAACAACACTGAGTGCACTACTTCGTACTCAATGTTGTCAAGGTCAAGCTAACTTTGTTTGTGTAAGATTTTTAACAAATGAATTTTTTTCACCAGCTGGCTTGCGTTGATGCTGAAATGGAAGACGATGAAGCGAGGTCAGAAGCAACCTTTCGCTTTACAGTACACAATTTCAGAAGCTTAAAGGACTCTGTGCTTTCACCACCATGTTTTGTCCGCAACCTGCCATGGAAGATTATGGTAATGCCTCGACAAGCACCATCCCCAGACCGTCAGCAGCAAAAGTCTCTAGGCTTCTTCCTTCAATGTAACGGAGAGAGTGAATCTTCTAGCTGGTCATGTTATGCAATGGCAGAACTGAGACTTCTTTCTCAGAAACCAGACACTGAGCCCTTCTCTAGAAAAATTCAACATTTGTTTTATAGGTTTGTTTTCCTTTATTGTTATTGATTATCTTTTCTTGTTTGTTAAAAAACTTGCCTCTGTGATTTTCTCCTTTATTGTGCAGGCTAGTAAGCCACCTATTTTATTAAGGTCAATAAAATTATTTAACTTTTGTATTTGCTGAATTATTTATTAGATAATTATTACTCAATCAGTTATTACAAAAATAAAAGGTGAAATGTAGAAAAATTAATTTTGTATTAGATGAATAACTAAGAGAAATAAACACAGAATTATAAACATTATGAAGTCTTGTAAAACACAAATTCCTCTAAAAAAAATTTAAATGAATGTAATCAAGAAAAAGCTATAATTTAATAAGTAGATAAAACAGCTGTTACATATTTTTTGTGTGAAACATTTTCAATTTATTTGGAGTTTCATTTTACATCTTTTTACATTTTAGTAAGGAAAACGATTGGGGTTTCTCGCACTTTATGTCATGGAATGATGTACTGGATCCTGAGAAAGGTTACATCAAGGATGATTCTATTACTCTTGAGGTGCACGTTACTGCAGAAGCACCACATGGAGTGTCTTGGGATTCTAAGAAACATACTGGTTATGTTGGTAAGTTTTATGTAATATTTGAATTCATTTATTCATTACAGCCCAGCAAAAGTCCTCCCTTGATCATAGTTCTCCCCTTATTTTATCTAATAGGGGAGGATATTGGCCATAGTTGTCACGCTTGGTATGCGGTTTGGCAACCAGTTTTTTTTAGTTATTAAGTTTTTTTATAGTATAATGGTGACAAACGAACACACAGTCCATCTGATGTTAGTGGTTGCTGTGGTCCATAGACATCTACATTTATCCTCGATTACAAATCAAAATACAGATGCGTTGTCGCCAGTGAGGACTAAGATGGAATGCCTCTTTGCCAGTAAAAAGGGTCTCCGGTTCTCTACACTCACCATACGAAACACAGCAGCATTAAGCTGCTATTTTACGCAGGTTTTCTGTGAGAGCGTGGTCCTTCCCCGGTCGAGCCGACCCATTAGTGTTACAACTATACCAGAAATATAGCTGCAGCATGGCTCTACCATGTATAACTATCAAATAAGGAGTATCAAGAAGATGCTGCTGCCCATCTCCTATTTCATTTCCCTATTGTCGCCTCTTATGACACCTACAGAATGATATGGTGTAGTGGATTCTCTTACGCCATCAATACATGACTTACATATTATAATGTTATTTGAATAGGCATTAATAATTGTACTGACAACCAATGTAAAAGGAATTTTCTTGAGTTGCGGCCTTTTAATAGTAAGCATGGTGTACTAGTACATGGATTTGACATTGTGCAATATGCAGGACAATTCATGCAGGTGGCTCAAGACCGCATATTTTACTAAGGATGCCAAAGATGATTTGTTAATAAAATTTAATATCTATTGTTTAATAAAATATGATTAATATTAAATTTTCTTATCCCTTTCAAAACCTTGTTAAAATCAAATTCTTTTTTCAGGTCTTAAAAACCAGGGTGCAACCTGTTATATGAATTCATTGTTACAAACACTTTATTTTACAAATCAATTGCGAAAAGCTGTATACAAAATGCCCACAGAATCTGATGATAGTACAAGGTACAATATGTTTTAATTATTTTACATAAAAGACTATAGGCTAGTTTTTTATTTTTAATATTTGCTAAAATCGTTATTATTTTGTAGGTCTGTTGCATTGGCACTACAAAGAGTATTCTATGAATTACAATTTTCTGATAAGCCTGTTGGCACGAAGAAATTAACCAAAAGTTTCGGTTGGGAGACACTTGATTCTTTTATGCAGCATGATGTTCAGGAGTTTTTGAGGGTAAGATGAACTCTTAAAATAATCGGTACCATTTTAATATGTATGTTAGAAGCGGAGAGAGGGCCAATTACATATTATGCTTCATGACATAAAGGTGACACAGAGGGTTAAAAAATGTGATGTTTAATATATTTGATTAACTTTTATTCAATTATACGTTGGTGAGATACAGATAAAATTTATGAGGCATATTTTATGTTTAACCAAAATTGGCAAAAAAAATTCTCTATATATATATTTTTTCACTAAATTATTAAAACTCAAACACTTGGAAGGGAAGGCCAAACTGACCTCTATAAAGCTTGGCATGCTCAGCAGAGCGAGACAGTATTTCATGCCGGCACATTGCTTGCAACTTTACAAAGCGCAAAACCGGCCTCACATGAAATACTGTTCTCATCTCTGGGCCGGGGCACCCCAGTGCCAGCTCCTTGCATTTGACCGCATCCAGCGCAGAGTGGTTCGAATCGTCGACGACCGAATTCTTTCTGATCGGCTCGATACACTGGCACTGTGTAGAGATGTTGCATCTCTGCGTATTTTATCGCATTTACCACGGGGAGTGCTCTGAGGAATTGTTCGGACTAATTCCAACCGCTCAATTTCACCATCGTACATCGCGACAAAACTCGCGATACCATCCATATCACCTGGATGATTGGCGGTCCACCACTGTGCGATTTAGAAGATGTTTCCTTCCTCACACAACTTCCTTGTGGAATCGATTAGCACCAGCGATTTTTCCGGACCGATACGACTTAGGGACCTTCAAGAAAAGTGCCAACTCCTTTTTAAAAGGCCGGCAACGCATTTGCAATGCCCCTGGTGTGCGGTTGTTCATGGGCTGCGGTAGTCACTTACCATGAGGTGATCCGCATGCTCGTTTGCCCCCTCTCCTGTAAAAAGAAAAACTCAATTTTCATTTATATTCTTGTCCTCAACCCACACTCATATAATGTTATTGATATTAATATCAAAAAATGTTCTTCAAAACATTTATAGTAAATTACTCATGGTATATTATATATGTTTGTAATTCTCGAAAGTGTTCTTTTTTAGCACTTTCGGACAGTTTTTGTAAATGTTTTCATTGCTCATTTGTTTACGATGAAATCTGTGTTATAGGTACTCTTGGATAAACTGGAGAGTAAAATGAAGGGTACATGTGTGGAAGGAACGGTACCACGTCTATTTGAGGGTAAAATGACTTCCTATATCAAGTGCAAGAATGTGAATGTGTCTAGCACACGCGTGGAAACATTCTATGATATACAGTTGAATATAAAGGGGAAGAAAAACAGTAAGTAGAGCAAAACTAGTAAAAATTTTAAACTATTTTACTAAATTATAACGCTGCATATTAATATTAGTTCAGTCTGAACACAGTTATGTTGTAAAATTTGATTTTGATATTTAAATCTTGTTTATGTTTTCCTTTTTGGAGTGGAAATTTATTGGGGTATTTTTTTGTAAATCAAAGTAGTGTTATTTGTTTTAAGGTAAAAAAATTCAAATCAATTTAATCTCATAACAAAATAAGGTAATATAAATTTTAGAGAACTTAAGTTTGTATTTCAACAATGATGACATTGTCCAATTATTATTGGATTGGCTGATTGTATCATCTATATTTCAAAATCTACCATCTAAAATTTATGAGGGCAATATAAATTGTGGGCCCTGAGTTTGAATCCCCTTGCAAGCCCTTTTTAACGAGAAATATTATAGCAGTGTATGTATCTGCTGTGTATAGACAGAAGGAGGTATACAAATGAAAAATAGTCTTGCACTAACACTCGCGATTTATTATTCCACTAACATACAAATATAATTCAGTAAGAGAATGCAACGTAAGTCCTTAACAAAAAGGAAAAAGTAAAGAGATAGAGAAGCTTATTAGACAATAAAAAATAAACAACGCTTTTGTGAATTATTTACACGCGTAAATAATTCACAAAAGCATCTGCAAGCCAAAGCGACAATGTCTCCGTGTCGAAGCATGTAAGCGACTGATTAAGAGGGCAGTGCACACCGCCGGCCCGCAGCCACTGCCTTAAAACTAGGTCCGACCGAAACAGGATTTTCAACCGAAACCGAACCTTCGGTTTGAGTGTCAGTTTCGGCCGAAACCAAAACTTATTTAGACATGTTAATTTTTTTATATTGTATACTGAAATCTGGTATATTTTTTTTTTACATATACGGGTAGGTAATGTATGTTAATGAAAAACAGTAATTGTAATAGTCATATAGCGATGTATTTATTAATTTATATATAGTTAAGAAATACTTTTTTAAGTCAATTTTGTAAAAAAAATCAACACTTACACTAACTGCTTGCTAATTGAGAACATGTTGTGTTCACAATATTGTTAATATTATTCAATGAAAGCATTAACTTAATATATCACATTCACACACTTACACACAATATACACACAACTTAACAAATCCCAGAAAATATACAAAACCTGCTCAAAGTTCAAAAACTTTAATAAGCTAAGTTAGTATAAAAAGGGTTATTATAATAGTAAGGAATTTATAACCCCTGGGAATGAGGTGATCACTACCAAGCTATTTCCAATTTGTTTTGTGTTGTTAATTGTGTTACATACATGATTGTAAGCAGTGGCGTATCTAGGCGTCGGCGAAGTGCGTCCTCGCGTACGGCTTCGCACTTAAAGGGGCCTCGCAAGGCACCTCAAAATGCGATGCGCCCAGACTTTACCACAGATGACTAATTAATTTGATCACTTTTACGCTCGAGAAATAAAGTCACAAGTGTGTTTGTTTAGGGCCTCGGAAGAAGCCCCTCTTAAGTGCGACTGCGAGGCCGTTGTAACTACCTTTAAAGACCACGACTGTTACATTGACGGAACACGAGACTTGTTAGAAATTAATAGATATGAGTAGGCATTTTGTGTCAAACCATGTTTGGTAGGATAGATCTATTGGGTAGATCCTTGGAACGAAAGAAAAAGGGCCTCGCTGATGCAACTTCGCCCACGTTTGTATTATTCCACGCTACGCCTCTAATTCTAAGCTGTTATTTTAAAAAAAATCCTTATTTTACATAATTTTCTTGTTAGTTCTTCCAAGGACAGAGGCTTTTTTTCGAACCAGTGATAATTAAACAAAAAAGTGACTTTTAATAAGTATTATTTATGATCTATATTGAATAAAAAAGTTTCTGTTTCTGTATAATTAAAATAATTTTGTATAATACACGAGTCAAGTACTCATCCGAATGACGCACGATAATCCACGAACACTGAGTTTCGGTGCCGCCGAAGGTTCGGCAGATTTTTTGCCGAAACCGAAACTATTACCGAAACTAGATTTTTTTGCCGAAACTTGCCGACACCGAACCTTCGGTCGATCCCTACTTAAAACATTACCATTAATGGTATCGTATCGACGATGCCGCCGGGATCATCGAACCTACGAAACTCCGGCCAACTGATAAGTATGGTGTATAGTGTAGATTGTAAAATGCGTGTCTGTGTGTATGCGTGTGTGTGTGTATGGTTGTATGTTAGTGTGAAATGTATGAGAGTCCCCTACAATATTGTCTTTAAATGATGCCAAATATCTATGTACATATATATATTTTAAACTGAAAATAACTTTGTAAATATATGATTGTGATTTTTTTTTGTAATCATTATTAAGTGTTTTAAAAGTCAAAATCTTGCTTACAGTTGATGAATCATTCAAAGATTACATTAGTACTGAGACATTGGATGGTGAGAACAAATACGACGCTGGTGAGCATGGCTTGCAGGAAGCTGAAAAAGGTGTTATATTTGCATCTTTTCCTCCAGTACTACATCTACACCTTATGAGGTTCCAGTATGACCCTATCACCGACAGTTCTGTGAAGTTTAATGATAGGTAAGGGTTTATACTAAAATCCATAGTATATTACTTAATTTGTATAGGCTTTATGAAAAAACTATAGGTACATATCCAAAAGAACTATAATTTATATTTCTAAAATCTTTTACAAGTGATAGAAGCAACTTTACTAAGCAAATCTTATAATCTACTATCAGATGGCTGCTAGGTGGTTCTCTTCTTACCTGTAATTATCACTAGAATGGATATATTAACAACTCTATTATTTACCGTTACAGCCTATTAAAATCCACCAGATTGCCACATAAAGGGAATATTTGGCAAGCAGGTTGGCAACTGCAGTTTTTATTTTTTATTTTAGTGATTATTAAGAAGATGGTGTGGCCGATCTCCTAATTTGTTTCCTTATGTCCCCTCTTACGATACTCACAAGATGATAATAGGGTATTGGATATTCTTACACCAGCTACATAGTGAGTCTCCTTTATTTGCGATTTATAGTGTACCATCAGTATGACTATGTTTCAGTTTCTTTAGTGACACATTATGACACTGAAATATATGATGTGATGATGGATTTGCAGGCACTGTCATAACAGACGCTAAATAGCCAAATAATTTCTTACATTTAAAATAAAGTTCCTTCTACTTATTAATATTATAAAATAACTTAAATTTTTATTTATTTTCATTTACAGGTTTGAGTTCTATGAGCACATTAATTTAGATGCATACTTGCAAGAGAAACCTGAAATTCCGGCTGATTATACATTGCATGCAGTTCTTGTACATTCTGGCGATAATCACGGCGGGCATTATGTTGTGTTCATTAATCCTAAGGGTGATGGTAAGGTGAGTTATAACAATCACTTATTCAACTAATGTTTTTGTTGTCAAAGTGTTAAGTAACAATTAACACTCACAATATATCCAATTTGAGACTCATTCAAATGTTTTATCTCACGAAAAGTGGACAAGTTACTCAGTTGCTAATTAAGACTCATTAATTATTGTCTTACATCACTCCACACAAGTATTCTGTACTTACTTTTAGTTCTGGTGGTACTTCATAATAATTTTTAATTCACAATAAAGGTACATGTGCTAGATGCACACTACAAGCAAAACCAACCCGCCATCGTGATATACAGGGAATGGAACTATTTATTCCAACATCTAAGGTACTCATCGAAGGCAGATCTCACCATTGGTTTGGTCGCTCCTGTAAGACTGCATTACCCAGTAAGCAGGAGTGCTATCTGGCCTGGGCTGAGGCTTCGGCGGCTTGGGATATAAACACCAGCATGCTTAAAAAGAACTATAACTTCGCCTCCAGGTCCTTCAAAAGAGTTATTGCCAAAGCAAAGTATGAGCACATTGGCAGAATTGGCGAGAGATTAGTTCGCCTTTCTACGGGAATCCGTGCATTCTGGTCTCTCGCCAAGGCTGTTCAAGGGAATTTCTGTAAGTCATCACTACCATCTCTGAACAGGAAGGACGACTCACAGGCCCACTTCGCAAAAGAGAAAGCCGACTGTGGCGGGTGGAAGGAAAAGGGGAGATCTCCCACCGGGCAAGGTGTTCTGCCCGGGGAGCAGGCAACGCTCCGATTGGTAGTTCGGAGCTATTCTATATATACTGCTTTAACTTCGGAACTTTGTTAGTGCGATTTAGGCTTCGATGTGTTTCGCTTGTGGCGCGACGACAGCGCCGCTACATCACCCCCCTGCTCTGACCGAAGGTCGATAGTGCAGTCTAGATGTCGACGAATTTGCAAGTGCCAGGGAATTGCCTTGTAAGTCTGCGGTGAGTCGAGAAGAAGCAAGTAATCTTCGAGAGTGCCGTGAAGCAGAGGCGAGCAGTAAGGCTCAGAGCTGTGCCGAACACTGTAGCGCAGAGAGTAGCTTGAAGGAACAGGAAGCATTATTATTCCAGTGCTGCGACGAACCTTTATAAAGCTAGATGGCTTGCAGAATGTGAAGACTGCAGACAATATCTGCTCGGAAGCGAATGAATGGGGTACTTGAGGTTAATGACGAAGGTTTTGAAGTTGTAGTGTCCGAAGGTTGTTCTTTGCGTGTTCAGATCACGTCGGACGGAGCTCTCCCGCCGGGCAAGGTGTTCTGCCCGGGAAGCGGACAACGCTCTGAGTGGTAGTTCGGAGCTATTCTATATATACTGCTTTAACTTCGGAACTTTGTTAGTGCGATTTAGGCTTCGATGTGTTTCGCTTGTGGCGCGACGACAGCGCCGCTACACGACCTTTTCGACTCCCTTTTTGCGTCCAACTCGACTCTTGATGACGGGAGGAACACACCGCCGACCATCCCGCAGTGTGAGTGCTCTATGCACTCACACTGCGGGATGGTCGGCGATTGTGCGATTCACACTGTGCTCAGTACGCAAAGCAATCCTCTCCGTGGACATACACGAGTCGAGTGGGCCTGACGGAATCCCGCCAATTGTGCTTAGGACGTGCGTTCCATAGTTGGCACCGGTTCTAACGTGTCTTTTCCGGCGTGTAACTCCTACTCCCTAGGCGTTGTCCCGAACTCATGGAAGACAGCTTTCGTGCACCCGATCCCTAAAAAAGGTAACCACTCTGATCCGTCAACTGTAGGCCTATCGCCATCACCTCCTTGTTCTCGAAAATAATGGAATCCATTATTAACTGTCAACTCATGCGGTACCTTACGGAGCACCAGCTGATTAGTGACCACCAGTACGGTTTTAGTCGGGGTCGCTCAACTGGTGATCTTGTTTACCTAACACATAGATAGGCGCCGGCCATCGAGTCCAAAGGGGAGGCATTGGCCGTTAGTTTGGACGTAGCGAAGGCCTTCGATCGGGTCTGGCACAAAGCGCTTCTTTCGAAGCTTCCTTCCTATGGGCTTCCCGAATAATTGTGCAATTGGATCACTAGTTTTCGTAGTTAGGTAGTAGACGGTGCATGCTCCGATTACAAGCCTATTAAAGCTGGTGATCCACAAGGCATATCAATGATATGTTGCGGTAACATCCATTGCTATGCTGATGACAGCCCTGGTGATGTTCTATACACTGGCCGTACCAATATTTCGCGGGAAAACGTCGCCGAGTACTCCGAGAATCCTCGGCGTCGACATATCGAATTGTTCGGACTAATTCCAACCCCTCAATTTCACCATCGCACATCGTGAAAAAAACCCTTATACCATCCATACCATCTGGATGATTGGCGGCCTAGCACTGTGCGATTTAGAAGAAGTTTTCTTCCTCGCACAACTTTCTTGAGGAATCGATTACCACCAGCGATATTTCCGGACCGATACGACTTATGGCCCTTCAAGAAAAGATCCTACTCCTTTTTAAAAGGTCGGCAGCACATCTGCAACTCCCCTGGTGTTGCAATTGTTCATGGGCGGCGGTAATCACTTACCATCAGGTGAGCCGCATGCTCGTTTGCCCTCTCTCCTATAAAAAAAAAATAAAAATACATGCAGCATGTGCTGCTCCAAGGCTTTAACTTCAAAGGAATAGACAAGGCCAATTTTCTTTTAATTTGTGACCACAGTGTGACTTACGTCCAATTGCCCCCACTTAATAAGGTATCATATCATTATGTTTGCATTGCTAGTAATTTTGATTAAAAAAACGGTTTTAAAATTTTTATTGAATTTTATACAGTGGTGCAAGTTTGACGACGATGTGGTGTCACGTTGCACGAAGCAGGAGGCCATCGAGTACAACTATGGCGGACACGACGAGGATATGACCCTGACAGTGCGCCATTGCACAAACGCTTACATGTTGGTCTACATTAGGTGAGTCACCACCAGCGCTGTGGAATTGTAGTACTCTTTATATACTTTACTATTTATGCTTTTTTCATCATCAAGATTATACTTATTTGATTTTAGGTTTTTAAAATTAAGAGTTTAAAATTTGCATTTGTTTTAAAATGAGGGGTTTATACTTTTAAAGTAAAAATATTTTTTTTTTCCTAACTGGGGTTGCCACCTGGACCAGTTTGTCTTAAATCAATCAAGACTCTAGAATCAATCAAGAAAATCTTATACATAATTAAATATGTGCAACAAAACACATTCGCGTATTTATTCTTTTTGTTTTTGTTTTAAGAGATTCACAGTTGAAGACGGTATTGCAAGAAGTAACTCAAGCTGATATACCCACTGAGCTCAGTGAAAGACTGGCAGAAGAGAAGAGAATTGAGACGGTGAGTGACATTGCTTTCATTCATGAAGACTAGTGGTCACAGTGGATATAAGATAAACGCATATTTGCCCTGATATACACACCACAGACTATTGCAAAAGGAATGTTTGAAATCACACAAACACCTCATTCAGTGAATCTGTTAGTGATTATTTATTGGCAACAATTTAAAATACTTTGGCGACAATTAAAACGTAGTGATAATATTTTATTTTGTGTTTGACGCTGACATAAGGAATATGAATGTTTTATGTTATTTAATTTAATGTACTTGTAACATATAATTTATATAAATTTTAGCTTTCTACACTCCTTAGCCTTATAAATTTTAACATGTCAAATCTCACACTCTGAACGCGCGATATGCTTAAAAACGGGTACAAAGTTTTCCTTTCAAATATCTTAATATGTAGATAAAAATATATGCAACGAAAAAAACTTTATTTAATGAATGCATATTATATGTAATAAATTAAAAAATATATATACTGGGTGGCGCTTAGGTTATCACGTTAAATAGCACAACAGTTAATACAAGTTGATATATGTCTGTTAAAATAATAAAATAAACAATAATAAATGAAAAAAATAAATGCATTTTTCAAACAAAATAAACAGCGTAAAAAATTGACAAGAAATAAATCATCTTTGATAATATCAGTTTACTGACCTTAAGTGACCTGTAAAACCGGCATCAGCGCTCAGTGCTCACGTGACATTGACATAGGTAATTATAATACCTACACTTGGCCATATATAGGTAATTAGGCACGCGTAGGGCGATGCTAATCCGATGTTATCAACGAATCATAAATTTCATGGTTTTTATCCAAATAATCACTTAATATTAAAATCACTCAAGTTTAATAATCAAAACAAATCAAATCAAATTTTGAAAAAAATATATTATGTCTGTGTATTCTGACGACGTGAAAGTGTGATACAAAGCATCTTAAAATTTAGAAAAAGTTAAGACGTTAAAAAAATAAATGCATGCAATTGCGCACGGGCTGGTCTCTCGCGTATTATTAATGTGTCCTATCACAAATAAAAAATACAGTAAAAGAAAGCGTCCAATTTCGCACAAACTGTTACACCACCTTATCACAACTGTTATTATCGTATTAACGTGTACTATCACAAACAAATTAAGAAACTTATTAAAATGTCGACAAAAAAAAAAACAACAATTAAAACTTAAAGGACGTGTACGCGAAAAACGAAAATTAGGTCAAGTGACTCATGAACTATCCCTAAGGACGCCGGCGTCGGAATAAGTGACGTACTTTCTTACTAATTGTCGCACGCGCCAAAGGTAAATATGAATTTTGACACCCCGTCCCATTTTTTGTCACTTCATGTATAGAGAATTATGCCTTAAGTCATTTATTTTAAGTAAATTTTTCGCTTGAATTTGTTTTCACACCCGCAGCGCGCGGTCCCTTTTTTTAATTTCGCGCATAAAATTCACTTAAACTGTTAGCCGTAAGTACATTTTTTGCTTCATTTTTTCTTTATTTGAGTATTTCGAATTGGCAACGTTTAAACTAGGTTCTTCGCCTTCAAATGCCATGGATCTTTGACCTTCTAGTATTCATCAGGTGATATCTGTATGCATTTACATGATGTTCTTTAATATTAAAACGAAAAAAATGCTATGGTAAGTAGAATATTAATTGTTATATATTATTTTAGTTGTGTATGTTTAAAGAAATTTATGTAGGATATGTCTATTCATTTAATATGATAACTTTATCGTCACTCGGTATATATATATTCTCGAAGTTTTAAGGTGTGTATCTATCTATTGATGAATTCAACCTAGTTTATTTTGGGCATATTTGGGTACAACAAATTGGACGTGCGTGCACATTGTGCATGTGCGTGTGTGCGTGCGTTCTTGAGTGCGTTTTTGCGTGCGAACATGCGTTTACGAAGCGAATAATTATTATATAAATAATTAAGTGTACTGTAATAATTAAGTTGCATTGTAACATAAATAAATACATAAATAAATATGAGCTATTTCTTATATCTTTATATATGCAGGTTAACTTTTTCTTTGAATTTTATTGCCATTGTTTTTATAAACGGATGCGACAAACGGACTTACAGTAGCCAACTTTGAACAAATCAGGCTACAGATGCGTTGTCAACTCTGAGGATGGAATGTTTTTCAGTCTTTAATTGTATTGGCTTTCTATACCCTGTAGACGGGAACAGAACAGTGGGTACCCACCCAGAGGGACTCATTATATAATTCCATTGTTTTACTTTTACAGATACGTCGCAAGGAACGTAATGAAGCGCACCTGTATATGAACGTAAATGTTGTGCTTGAGGAGGCGTTCGATGGTCACCAGGGTAATGATCTGTACGATCCTGAGCGAGCACACTACAGGGTGTTCAGAGTTCGTAAGCAGGCCACTGTAGCTGAACTCATGGAGATGTTGGCAGAGAACTTCCGATACCCGCTTAAACATATCCGTCCATGGCCATTTAGTGCGCGTTCTAATCATGTAAGTGCTCTTTGGTTTGAAAATTATCGTTAACTGCTTTGAAAATGTTACCTCTTCTGGATATAGGTGCCCATAGTCATTTTTTGTGACAAAGTAACAAACAAGATAAAACAAATTGACATTGTCCACCTGATGGTAATTGGCAACTTCAGCTTATATAATATGTCACATATTCTTCAAAACTTAAAAAAAAGATAAAAGTAGTTAATAGGCACACAATTTTGGAGTTTTTTTTTATAGAATAGGGGCAAACAAGCATGCGGCTCACCTGATGGTAAGTGACTGCCGCCGCCCATTAACAGTTGTTGATAAGTATGTTTACCCAAGTTAAATTATTCAACTAGGTAAGTCTTCGACTCAAAAGTTCCAACTTGGTTAGGCATTATTCAAGAGATTACAAGACATAAATGCTGGTTGTATGAGGATGCTTAGTTGCTATACTTGGAGTGTCTCTGTGTGACGGAATCCATAACAATGATAGTGACCATGATGAATTTATATAATTAATGGCTCTCCATACCTTTGAAACTCGAACACAATTATGGATTGACTGCTGCATGACAACAGAAATATGTAAAGATTGTGAGTAGGACTCCTGGAAAGAATAAGAATTCTACAACTCAAAGCATACCCTATCTACCAGTTGCAGGTGCAATAACACACTTATCAGGTGTTGACTTGAAATATCCATCATTGTACGAGAATATTTGGTTTCCCTTTTTACCTATACATGTGATAGTGTTAAAAGGTGATTAGTGACTTTCGTTTTAGACTTGTTAGGCAGGATGATTTCGTATTTTTAAACATAATTTTGTCACAAATACTTCTGAATGTTTCATTACTATTTACATCTTATTTATTTACATTATTTTTAAACAGACCTGCAGACCAACGTGCCTGGACATTGTTAATGATCAGCAGAAGACAGTGGCTGATATTTCTGAGAACATGAACCCATGGAACATATTCTTGGAAATGTTGCCTCCGGACTCTGGTTTTAGTGCCTTGCCCCCCTTCGACAAAGAGAATGATGTTGTGCTGTTCTTCAAGTACTATGATCCCAAACAGAAGCGCATACACTACTGCGGCCACCATTACCTCCCTATCGCGAGCAAGCCCGCCGATCTCATACCAATACTCAATAAACGTGCAGGTATGTTCCTTTACATTATACTTATTTATTAGTAAGTCAGCTAAAAAATTTGGCATTATTATTATTTATTAGACATTGACTGGGAGCAATTGCTTACATCAGGGAGTTTGCTGAATTCTCCTTTGTCAGCATTTCCATTGTGATGTTATCAGACAATGTATTTTAAGTAAATGTACCCTTTACATATTTTTAGCAATGCAACTGAGCTAACAATCATGAATTCATGAATCATGGTATCAAAGTATTTGAACAGTTGATAAAGAAGTTAAGTACCACCAGGGAAAGTTGGTTGTTCTCTGAACTGCATCCCTCGCCAAGCAGATCTCCCCTTTTTCATCAATCTCGAAATATTAATTAAGTAGATATGGACTACATAATGATTTCTTATATTTACGCGAACACTACACATTGAATAAAACTATTTTTACGGATTTTATCGCGTTTAATTTACTTATTTTATATTCCCGACGTTTCGGTTGCTTTCCAGCAACCGTGGTCACGGGGGACTGAGGTGATTGACGTCCCGATGTCAAAGTTAACCCGGAGTACCTTCAGCTTTTTAATTATTAATTTTGGTCCGATCTACGCAGAATGAACTAACTGTGTCTTGAAGTCTTACAGTGGTATGCTTGGGTTTAGTTTTAATTTTATGAATTACAGGATCCCAAGCAGGTGGTAGTACCCAGCCTACCTCTCTATTGAAATTGGGATGTTTTTTAATTTCAATAGCCTCACGTATCATCCTTGGCAGGAATCGATGTTCTTTCGCGAGGACTTGTGGTTTATCAAATCTAATGTAATGACGGGGGCCGTCTAGGATATGATCACAAACTGCAGACTTCCCGGAACGTTGGTGCTTCACGTCAGCTATGTGTTCTTTTACGCGGGTTTTTATTGATTGTTTTGTTTGCCCTATATATGAGAGACCACACTCACAATCAAGCTTGTATACTCCTGCATCTTGTAGAGGAATATTGCACTTGACGGATGGTAAGAACTGACTAATCTTCTTCGGCGGCTTGAAGAATGTTCTAATAGAAGCTCGCTTCAAGATGTAGCCAATCTTGTCTGTGACACCTCTGACATATGGTAGTACAGCAGGCACACGCTCGACTGTGGCCGGCTTCACTCGGTCACTGTGACGTAGGCGCGGAACCCGAAGCTTGTTGTCGTGCAGAACCTGCTTGACGTGCTGAAGCTCGGCGGCCAGGTGTTTGCTGTCACAGATCCCTCGTGCTCTCTGCAACAAAGATTTGCCCACGGTAGCTAACTGTGAAGGGTGATGGTGGGATTCACCGTTTAAGTATCGGTTTGTATGGGTCTTTTTTCTATACACAGTGTGACCTACGGTGTTATTAGGATTTCGAATGACTAACACATCTAGGAAAGCTAAAGAATTATTTGCCTCTAACTCCATAGTAAATTGAATTTTAGAGTTTATGGAATTAAGATGTTCTAAAAATGCAGTTACTTTGTCTGATGGTAAAATTGTGAAAGTATCGTCTACGTACCGCTTGTAGAAACTTGGAGTTACTGGTGCAGTAAGCAGGGCTTTCTCCTCAAAGTCCTCCATGAAAATATCGGCGACAATGGGAGATACCGGTGAGCCCATCGCAACACCATCTACTTGCTTGTAAAACTGTTCCTTCCACAATACCGTATTGTGGAAGGAACAGTTTTACAAGCAAGCAATACCGTAAACTCTAAAATTCAATTTACTATGGAGTTAGAGGCAAATAATTCTTTAGCTTTCCTAGATGTGTTAGTCATTCGAAATCCTAATAACACCGTAGGTCACACTGTGTATAGAAAAAAGACCCATACAAACCGATACTTAAACGGTGAATCCCACCATCACCCTTCACAGTTAGCTACCGTGGGCAAATCTTTGTTGCAGAGAGCACGAGGGATCTGTGACAGCAAACACCTGGCCGCCGAGCTTCAGCACGTCAAGCAGGTTCTGCACGACAACAAGCTTCGGGTTCCGCGCCTACGTCACAGTGACCGAGTGAAGCCGGCCACAGTCGAGCGTGTGCCTGCTGTACTACCATATGTCAGAGGTGTCACAGACAAGATTGGCTACATCTTGAAGCGAGCTTCTATTAGAACATTCTTCAAGCCGCCGAAGAAGATTAGTCAGTTCTTACCATCCGTCAAGTGCAATATTCCTCTACAAGATGCAGGAGTATACAAGCTTGATTGTGAGTGTGGTCTCTCATATATAGGGCAAACAAAACGATCAATAAAAACCCGCGTAAAAGAACACATAGCTGACGTGAAGCACCAACGTTCCGGGAAGTCTGCAGTTTGTGATCATATCCTAGACGGCCCCCGTCATTACATTAGATTTGATAAACCACAAGTCCTCGCGAAAGAACATCGATTCCTGCCAAGGATGATACGTGAGGCTATTGAAATTAAAAAACATCCTAATTTCAATAGAGAGGGAGGCTGGGTACTACCACCTGCTTGGGATCCTGTAATTCATAAAATTAAAACTAAACCCAAGCATACCACTGTAAGACTTCAAGACACAGTTAGTTCATTCTGCGTAGATCGGACCAAAATTAATAATTAAAAAGCTGAAGGTACTCCGGGTTAACTTTGACATCGGGACGTCAATCACCTCAGTCCCCCGTGACCACGGTTGCTGGAAAGCAACCGAAACGTCGGGAATATAAAATAAGTAAATTAAACGCGATAAAATCCGTAAAAATAGTTTTATTCAATAGATATGGACTACTTTACAGGTATTTTATGGGTTATGATGGGCTTGCTTTACAAGAAACAAAGACAGCAGGAAACTGAAATAGTAGATGGGCAGCATCTTCCTGATAAACTTAAAAAAAATAAAAAAATTGTCAATCTACCTGTCTTGTGTGGCATTATGAAGTGATCTAATGGGAAATGCCTATATTCAGCAGTGTACTTTCAATAGGATGATGATGATAATGACAGCCAGCAATGATAACACTGAAACAAACTTATATTTCGTGGCAACAACAACAACAACAAGAACTACATCAACAGTGGCCTGCTGAACACAGGTGTCATGATATTATTTTTTAACAAAGCAATGAACAAACTAATAGCCCATTTGATGGTAAGCGGCTGCTGTAGGCTATGGTCACCACATATCAATTAACAATGAAGCAAACTTGGTTACTGTTCTGTTGTCATACCTGTGTATTAAGATGTAATGCTTCAGTCAGTACTCAATTTTTCTGGCACTGCTGCTTAGCAGGACTAAAACGCTCCAGAAATGAGAGGAGATTTGTGCCCAGCTGTGAAACGTATATAGGCTGTAACTTTTAGTTACCTAAAGAGGAAATATGTGTCATGATCTCCCGAACGCTGCTCAGCCTAGTTGAATCCGTCGATTGACCTCTCAGTTGAATTTGGACTTACTTAGTCGGACTGTTTGTCCTAAGTAAACATATTCGTTGACAACTTCGAGCATAGTGCTCCCAATGACTACTGGCATAGGTGTGAAATGGCCATTACACATGACCTTGGTTTTGTCCATGTTTATCTTAAGACATATCTGTTTGGAGACATTATTGAGAGCATAGTACTAAGTTTCTCCAGTGATTAAGGACTATATTGTTGGCAAATCGAAAGTGAGTGATATACTCGCCATTGATATTAATACCGTATCCTTTCCAGTCCAGTTACTTAAGAACCTCTTCCAATGCAGCGGTGAAGTTTTGGGGTTATAATGTCACCATGTATTTACACCTCTCTGCTCATACGTTTCGTACTCTGATCCTGTATTCGGAAAGTCATCGTAGGACTACTGTACAAACACTTCAGCACCTCGATATTCTGACAGTCAACTTGGCACCGCTGAAGGGACTGTAGCACTGCTCAAATTTCGACGGAATCATATGCTTTCTCGTAGAGCACATATGCAAGGTAGATTGTACTCTTCGGTCTTACGTATAATTTGAATAAAGGTATGTATGCGATTTATGGTTTCGGGAGGCTGGAAGTCGTTGAACAGCACGTAGACGCGGCTACGTATAAGCTATGTAAAATCTGTCTGTATTTCTTCAACAGTGTTGTTGCCTTTATTAAATAAACAAGACCACTGCACTTCTGCGCCACCATGGAGAACAGAATTGAAGAGCTTCGGAAAGACTTCAAGTACTGGTTTTCCACCCACTTTAAGATGCTTCGCTTCATTCCCATCTTCGCCCGGGACCTTGTCGTTTTTAAGGTGCTGGAGAGCCATTCTCATCTTGCTCAGACTAATGTCTGGGATATCATGGAAATAGTGTTGGATAAGACTTGCTCTTGGATTGTTAATGAGACGTGCATGTGGCTCCAATGAGGACGTGTACAGCTACCCGTAGAACCATTCAGTCTTACTCAAAATCTTGGGTGTCCCAGAAACTATGCTACCACATTTGATATTCAACTTCGACAGTTGGCTCTTTCTGGCAGACAGGCAAGAACTATGGAGCCTTCTTGCCAGATGAAAGGGATTAATTCCGATATTGAATGTCAATTAATGTTTGTCATTTATTTTTGTCATATTAAAGATAATGATGTAATTGTTACAGGTTTCCCACCTGATACACCTCTCGTCTTGTATGAAGAGATTAAACCCGACTTTGTGGAGAAGATTAATAACTACAATGATCCACTGGAAAAGGTATTATTTATGAGTTTTACTCTATCAAACTTTACCTTAGTTCTAAGTAAATTATTGTCTGTATAATATTTACATGAATAATTATGATATAATCTTGCGAGCCTAAGTATATAGATATAACATTCTTAAAAAAAATCTTGCAAAATTAAATTACTATTAAAGTATTTTCAAGAAGTTCTAAAAGTCAAGTTCAAAAGTTGGTGGACTCTGTAAACTAACTTAAATTCATTACTTAAATGCAGATAACCCATATTAGAATTCACCACTCTTTAAAAATACTATTTTACACACCTACAAAAAGTTAAACATTAATATTAAAATTCGAATGTACCTATATTTATTTTATAGTGTAGTTTAATTTATATTGTTAAATTTTTATAGTGATAATATTTTGTAATAATGTCTATAAATTTCGTCGCCAATAATGATTAGTTAGTACACATGCTGATCCAGGTATGATACATAACATAAGTCTTGATGTTCTATCACTTTATTTATTTGCCATTTTATTCGGATACTGTTCCCAAATGCGTTCTTTTCCGTTTTTTTTTCATTCATTTTAATTTCTGAATTACATTTTATGAAATGTAAAATAAATGGATATGAAAACAAAAGGTTTGTTGTAGAAATGTTATTAACGGCTTAGATTGCTATTTTTCATTTGCTTGTTGTAATTAAATTATATTATAAGGGAACCAGTACATAATTAACATATTTTTTAACTTAGCATCATTCATAAATCACTATAACATACAATTTTAATTTGGTGCTTTTAGTGTTATCTCAAAACATAGTCAGTTTTCCGCGCTTTAAGTTAAATTAATAGAATTAGTATTTAAAATCGTACATTTGATAATATGTTTATATTAATATACACTTTTAATAGAAATAGTAAGTTTTTCGAAAGGTCATATATAGTTTACCTTACGAAAGATACTGTTACAGATTAAATATTTTGTATTATGAACTACTGTCAAAATTATTTTACTTAATACCGAATTTTAATTGTTTAGTAACTGACAATAAGAGGTCACCATGTTCAATTTGTATTACACTTGTATCAAATCTCTCAAAACTTTACAGTACTTTTTCTTACAATAATTATCTTCGCTTACTTGCTAAAGTGACTAAAAATTAATGGCTTTATAATCGTTTAATATCTCTTACTTAACTGAATAATTAAATATCTTATACCTGTACCTGTTTTTTTCTATTGTCTTTTAGTGAAGAGAAAGAGATTCATTTTAAGCATCTCTTTAATTTATGTCAATGTTTATGAGTAACGGTTTAAATTATTATGTATGTTCCAATAATAATGCTAAAATAAGTAAATACGTGCGAGAAGCTAGTAACTAAAAACTTTTTAAAAATTAAAAAATCCTTATGTATTTAACATGCTTTATGGTTCATGTGCTTGTGTGATTTAATACCCGAGCGGGACATGCCCTCTGGGGTTGTCCGCCGCTCGGGTTGAGTCGTGTGCACGCGGCCAGGTATTGGACGAACTGATGGACGGCGACATCATCGTGTTCGAGCGGGCCGACCACCGCCACGACGAGCTCGAGCTGCCCACCTGCCAGGACTACTTCAAGTACATATTCTACAAGGTCGAGGTGCAGTTCATTGACAAGACTGTACCAAATGACCCTGGGTAAGTTTTCACTTGTCTTTTGTTTATATTTTATCACTGCTTCTTCTTTAACAGTCAATCAACTTCTGGAAAATTCTTATAATTTGTAAGACTTTCATAGTCCCCTGCTTGAGATAGTCACCATGTTGCTCAGGCATAAACAAGTAATTATACTCACTCTCTATACCCTTCAGACCAGAACAGCAGTGCATGTATTGTATTTTGGCAATAGAATGGGTAAGAAGGTGATACCTGCCCAAAGAAACCAAAACCACCTATTAAATTATTATATTTATTAATATGTATTACTATTATTTATTACTGTTATTATATAGGTATGACATTCTTTATTTAGAAAACGCTTACCTTTTCCTTACAAACACTAACGGTACACCCAGTGTATGAAAAACTATAAAACAAAATACTAGAAACAACTAACAAACTGCTTAACGTTGATTTATTTTTAGTCATCATAGCTTTTTTTTTTAAATATAAAGTAAGGCTGACAAGCAAGCACACAGTGTCGACCTGATGGTAAGAGTAACTCACACACACATCATGTAGTCACAAATTGTTGTGAATTACAAGTTGTACCGAATATCCGGCGTTCCGCCCTATAGCTTTGCTCGATATTCAATATCTGGTATCTGGCAAAATAAATCTCTAATTTTATTTTAGTTCTCAGGGTTAACACACTTTCTTTTATATGTAGTTGGGTTTTTATATAATAAGGGTGAAATGGGCTACTTGCTATTAAGTAGATTGTAAGCTCATTTTGTTATTGTCATATTTTTGGTATGTTTAAAAATAATAAAAGAGATAAATTAAAAATGTATTATTAATGGGGAGCCGTTTTCGAAGTCTGGTGTAGGAATTGTTCATAAAACTGATTTGGGAGATTTGTTAAGGGATGGGGGAGAAAATGCATTTATCTATAAGCTCTTACATTTTTATTATTAATTAATTATATTATTTCTTACAGGTTCACTATGGAGTTGTCAATGCAAATGCGCTATGACCAGATGGCTCGGGCAGTGGGACAACGACTGAATGTCGACCCATACTTAATACAGTTCTTTAAATGTCAAAAGTGAGTAAATGCTTGAATGTATATTGTTTTAAATATCTCATTTTTAACTATACTTACTTAGTACTTAGGTAATTAAAGTGACACGCGAACTAACAGTCTACTTGATGGTAAGTACTACAGCCCATGGATAACTGCAACCAACTTAAAAAAGGCTACAAATGCGTTGTTATCACACTGACCATGATAAAATACATCTCAGCCTGTGATTATATTGTCTCTCTATACCATACATAACAGGTCACATGTGCACGCATTGCAGCTTGGCGCATAAGACTGTGCTACCTACCCAGACATACTCCTAGACAGAAACGGAGCCATACAATCTAGTATTTTTTTTATACAATAGGGTGACATACTAGCACACAGTCCACTTGGTGGTAAGTGGATGCTGTGGCCCATAGAAATCTACATTTATGCTCAATTAAGAATCAAATTGCAGATGCCTTGTCACTTCTGAGGACTAAAATGGAATGCCTCATTTCCAGTAAAAAGGGTTTTTTTTTTTAATAGGAGAGGGGGCAAACGAGCATGCGGCTCACCTGATGGCAAGTGACTACCGCCGCCCGTGAACAACTGCAACACCAGGGGAATCGCAGATGCGTTGCTGGCCTTTTAAAAAAGTAGTAGGCTCTTTTCTTGGGTCCCCGGTTCTCTACACTCACCATACGAAACACAGCAGCATTAAGTTACTATTTTACGTATCTCATTGCGTGAGAGCGTGGTCATACCCCTGTCTAGCCGACCCATTCGTACTGTCGATAATACACGATCACAGTTTCAGACGGCGTGTACCTTTATCTTTATTAACTTCTAGAAAATTCATATAATTCAAAGGACTTATCCCAATAGTCATCATGTTGCTCAGGCATAAACGACATGGTTACATGTAGCCACTTGATCTTTCTGGCTGTCATTTAAAGAAAACTATAGCCTAAAAGTGACAAACCAACTTAAATTCCATTTGATGGTAAGTGGCTAACGTAGCCCATGGACACTATATTTAAGTCTACTTATGTTTAAGTCATTAATAAAAAAAGCACATGATTTACGCCTTCATTGCAAATCGAACTTTTTCTTTTGTTGCAGTTATAAAGATACTCCAGGACCTCCACTTAGATACTCATATGATGGAATTCTTAAGGATTTGCTAGTGTACTGTAAACCAAAGTGCCCCAAGAAACTGTTCTATCAAATTTTATCTATTAAAGTTAATGAATTGGACAACAAGAAGCAATTTAAATGTTTATGGGTAAGTGTTATTTATATTATTTATGAGAACTGCATTTTTTTATTTTTTGACCATGTGGGACAGTATCCATTGCCCCATTCCGTCCCATCTCAGAGCTGCCATAAAAATCAACTAAGAAAGAATTTTGGCCACCCATATATTGCAGTGTATAAGCTATTACATTTGTATAAGCTATTTTTAAAATTACCACCTTCCTTATCCCTGATAGAAATTTTTTATGACACATTTATAGAAAAGTTTAGATGTCCATACTCAGGTAAATTAGTTGCTCACGTGTTTTAGGCTTTTGTTGTTCATTAACGTAGCGTTTCATTTTCTAAGTGATCATGCTTTTCTACCAACATCAAACAGGAGGAGGTACCCAATTCGGCCATATGTTTTTTTTATGTGTGTTACCTGACAACTTTTTTCTAGGTGAACCGATTTCGATGATTATTATTTCATTTGTAAGCTGGTGCTTCATATGTGGTCCCATATAAATTTGATTAAGGTCTGACCAATAGTTTTTGAGATATTCTTAATAATTTATATTGAAGTTGGTTGTGTGTTGTGTGTGTTAAATTTTAAATTATTATGCTAAGGATTCCATCTTGGTAGAGCTAGTATATAACTATTCTTAGTTATAGGCTCTGAGGCATTCCATCATATCTTTTAGAGGTGAAAACGTTTCCCTAGCCTCCTTTCGGAAGTTAATTGAAGTAGCTACTCATAGTTAGATGGGTTATTTGCTCGTTGTTAGCATTCTAATTAAAATAATATACAGATTACAGTCCTTCACAAGTCCACTGCTGAACATATGCCTCACCCAAAGAATGCCACAAACCATAGCATGGTCCTGAGTCACCTGCATCCATCGATTTCCTGCATTACTTACCAGGTCTTCACTCCATCTAGTGGGGGACCGCCCCATACTTCGACTACCGGTACGGGGCTGCCGCTTTAGAACCTTTGTTTTCCCATTGGTTGTCGTTTTTTTGAGCTATATGGCCTTCAGCTTACTAATCCGTTGGGCTATGTCAGTTGCTCTGGTTCTGCTGGTATATCTTTCTTTCTAAGTTTATTTTCAATATAAGTAATATTGAAAATGGGCCAAATTAAGAGTACCTTTAACCGACGAGCGTGTATGCGTAGGTATATGGATATGGAGGAAGTGAGAGAGGTGTGCTAGGATCGTGCCAAATGGAAGTCCATAGTCTCTGAATACCCCTCTGGGTAACGGGTGTGAGTGTTTATGTTTATGTTTATGTTCTAAGTTTATCATGCAGATAAACCTGAGCATAGCTCTCTCTATAGCTTGCTGAGTGACCTTGAGCTTCTTCGTCAGGACGTCACAGAACCATAAGTCATCACTGGCAACTCGAACTGGTTGTACAATCTTGTTTTCAAATTTTGAGGTATACCTAACGAGATATGTCGTAATCTCTCAAACACTGCCGTGCTGAGTTGAATCACCCGATTCGGAGCTGCTACCTACCTGAAAATCCATATCCAAATAGCGTGAAGCATACATATTGATGATTCATTCGCGATGTTTTCTTCGTGATGTTTTCTTCGTGATATATGACACGCCCTAACATAATATTAAATGCAACTAATAATGGCAACACAAAATGTCTAAATATACCAGCATAGTCAGACATGTTTAGTACAGCAGTCAATTATGTCCAGCAGGCTTAGCATCCAACATTTACTACAAATTAAAAATATCTTATTTTAAATTTATATTTAACAGGTTGGTCCCAATTATAAAGAAGATAAAGAATTAATTTTATATCCAAATAAAGGAGGTAAAGTGGCGGATATCTTAGAAGAAGCAGCGAAGGTTGTTGAAATGTCTCCAGAAGGTTCTGGCAGGTTAGTTTTTGTGTACTTTTGAAGTTAATTACAATGATACAGAATTCACAATCTAGTTATGAAAGCTAATTTTAAAAAGCTTTTATTAGCTTCACATTTATGATCAATCTATCTATGTAATGAAATCTTTTAATATAATTTTCACCAACTTGTAGACAACTGATTGATTTGAAAATTTGCACCGATGACAATACAATAATTTAATAACTTTATAGTCGTGGTAGCTCAGGGGCTAAGCGCTCGCCGTAAATTTCACAGTACGCGATCAACCCGGGCTCAATCCCCGCCGGCACCAATGAAATTGTTAATTGCAATTTTAAGTGCTGATTTACCACATGCTCTGCGGTGAAGGAAAACTTTGTGAGCATATACGCGATAACTATGGCAAATATCCCTCCTATGAGGCAATCTATGTGGGAAGCCTATATTTAGCAGTGGACTTTAATAGGCTGTAACGGTACTCGTAACGTAATAGACTAACCCTTACCATGTGAGGATGGAAGTCGTTCATTTGCAAGCAGTTTAACAGATTAAACAGTTTACATGCTTATAACTTTAATGTGATAACAGCAGGCATGTGCATAAGTAAAAAAATGCTACAGATGCATTGTATTATATTTGACTAATGCCAGTCAACGCTTGTTTTTGGGTAGTTCACTCCAACAGATCATAATTTTATAACTTAACCAGAGAACTTTAAGTAAAGTGCAAAACAGATATTTTTTTTATCTTCTTACTATTTTATATTTATGTATGAAATGTTCGATATTCATTTTAGATTAAGGATTGTCGAGGTGTCGTGTCACAAGGTGTTACCAGGTCCAGACCCAGAGCTGACACTGGATCAGGTGACCATATCTCCACCAAGACTGTACAGAATAGAGGAGATACCCAAGGACGAACTGCATTTGCAGGTATTTATTTATTTTTGATTAAATCTCATTTGCCTAAAATGCTAAAGCATCATGAACATTTACCGTTTCTTTTTAATTTGTTTGCAATTCTAATAGCAAAATTAATAGGTATTTAATATGTAAGACAATGCAATGTCGCTCCCAAGGCTGGTTCACATATTCGTGTATTGTTTACATTTGACACATTACTTTGGTCTAAATAAAGCCAAAGTGCCATGCCCATACCATGGCCCAGATTTTTACCTTGGAGCTAAACTTGTTACGAAGTCAAGTCCAATTAATGGTCGTGCCAGAGACACTCAAGGGACGAGAGTGATTAATTATCTTGCATAAAAGTGACTGACACAGGTCTATTTTTCACGGAGCTGCAAAGACGCAAATATGTCGACGGTGTTGCATGCGAGATTCGTGACGCGTAAATCGCTTTACAAAAATAGCGTAAACGTCTGTGAAATTTGGTTAATTATTGCATGCCTTAAGCGAAAGCGCAAAGTATGTTCTACTATCGCCTAAAAATGAAGATTCCAACGTTTTATCGAATAAAATCGTATCTAGCAATCATATTATACATATAAATGATATAAAAAGCACATTGTTAGAAAGATAAATGATTGTTGAACTTATTAATTGTTTTTTTAAATCAATTAATTGCTATTTTTAAATAAAAAAGGGGTTTTAGTGGCTTATGGTGTGGATTTATCACGTCCCCAAGGCTTGTAAACACGATAACTTTTGAAAATATCAATTGCTTAACTCATTCTATTTTTTAATCTCTTCATCTATCATGTGGGAAGCCTGAATGTAAATGGCAGTGTAATTGTGTTTTGTTTAGCTATAATTAATTTATTTCGGCTCTAAAATGGCGAAATTTTCGTTGATTTGGTAGCCTTGTATGTAAATTATTTCTGTAAATAGGGACTGGGGAGCTACAGACACAGAGTAGTTTACTCACTCACTCAGTTCAGCCTCAGTCGCCGTCGTGAGTGGACATTGTTTCGGTTGTTTGCAGCGGCTCAAAAAGATCGCTGTACAACTACACAATATTCGAATAACCAAATTTCTTAAATACTTGATTATAATAATGATAAAGATTTTTTTATTACAATATTTTAAAAGCACAGAATAAATAATAGTAGTACGTACTAAAAGTAAGTAGTATCAATTTTTTTTGTCATGGGTGACATTTTCATGGTTTTCGAGGGTGTTGAAACCGATAGGGTTGTCGAAATGTAAATCCAAGATGGCGGCTGCAATAGGTATCAATTTTTTCATCATGGGTGTCATTTTCATAGTTTTCGAGGGTGTTGAAGCCGATGCTGTCGAAATTTAAATCCAAGATGGCTGTGGTCAGAGCCCGTAAACCACAGCCCTTGGACGTAAGGTGCGGCGAGTCAGTGTGCGAATGTTACGCCCATAGACCCCGTCATCATAACACCGGATGACGTAGATGAAGCGGTCCGTAGGGCTCCGAACTGGAAATTCCGGGACTCGACGGACTGCATCACTACTGGCTGAAGGGGTTCATGGTGTGTCACGCTGTGCTTGCCCGACAGTTTCAGGAGGCTCTCGACCAAAAGTCACTCCCGAGCCTCTTCACTACTGGGATCACTCATTTGGTTCCTAAAGACCGGGATTCCACAGACCCGAGCAAATACCGCCCCATTACGTGTCTACCTACCATATACAAGACAATAACATCCATGTTGAGCGCGAGAATCACTCGTCACCTGAACTCAAAACAGGTGATATCGCGCGCTTAAAATGGATGTCGGGGTGGTGGTCGTGGAACGTGGTTAAATGCAACCGTCGGAACCTCTCCGCCGCCTGGATAGACTACAAAAAGGCATTCGACTCGATGCCTCATACATGGCTTAAAGAGTCCTCGAGCTGTACAAGGTTGACTCTTGACTGTATAGTTCGAGAGTACCTCGGGCAGTGTATGGGGCAGTGGAGTACGATCCTTTGTCATCTAGGCGAGCGGATGATGGCTGCGAAGAACCACATAAGTATAAGAAGGGGTATCTTCCAGGGCGATTGTTTGAGTCCAATCTGGTTCTGCCTCTCTGAACCCTCTCAGTACCTTACTGGAGGGTTCCGGGAGGGGATTTCAGCTTCAGAAAGGAGGTACAAAAGTGACCCACCTTTTCTATATGGATGATCTCAAGTTATTCGCCTCCAGTCGCTCTCATCTTATGGAATTGCTAAACATCACTTGTGATTTTAGTAATTCTATTAGAATATACATTTGGCATACTCAGGTGGACTCAGACCGAACTGAATGCTCTCGATAGAAAAGTATAATATAATAAAAAAAGTAGAAAACTATTATGACGTCCCACAGGATGCATCATCCGAGGTCGTCAGTAATGAGGCTCTACTTGCCGCAGAAGCTTGGTGGACGCGGCTTTTTAAGCGCGCTTACAATGCATGATCGTGAAGTGTGCAGCCTCCGGAATTACTTTCTGACGAGAGCGGATGATCCATTCTATAGGGACGTTATTTCTTGTGATAAATGACTTACCCCTCTATCCTTAGCAAACGAGCTATGGCAAGACCCGGCAGTACAGAGCATTTCCGACCGGGAGACCGTATGGAAGGAGAAGGAGCTCCACGGGAGGTTCTACAAGGCTCTACATGAGCCTTTCGTAGACACTCCCTCCACTGGTTACGTTTCGGAGACCTCTTTGGGGAAACCGAGGGTTTTGTCTGTGCGATACAGGATCAGGTTTTTAAGACCAACAATTATCGGAAATACATCCTAAAGGTGGGCGCCGTCGACATCTGTCGAGCTTATCGCCATCCCGGTGAGTCACTTAGGCATGTCATCTCTGGTTGTTCGGCGCTTCCTAACTCTTGAGTATTTGCACAGACACAACCTAGTAGCCAGGATTCTACACCAAGAGCTCGCTCTGAAATAAGGTCTCCTAGATCGGAAACTGCCATATAATAAGTACTTGCCGGAAGCCGTGCTCGAAAATGACCGCGCCAGGCTCTACTGGGACCAGGTCATCCTCACAGACAGGACTATTCTTACGAATAATCCTGATATTGTGCTGATGGACTGGGCACAGTCAAGGATATTTTTGGTCGACATTACCATTCCGTATGACGAGAACCTCGTGAAAGCCGAAACAGATAAGCTCACAAAATATCTGGACCTGGCTCACGAAGTGACCGTCTTGTGGGGTGGTCTGCTGACCGAAATTATTCCTATGGTCGTTTCTGCGAACGGGTTAATCCCAGTCAGCCTCTCGAGTCATCTGAGGCGACTGGGACTCCGTGATGGACCGCTCCAAGCTCAAATGCAGAAGGCGGTGTTCTTCGATACCGCCCGCATCGTCCGCCGGTTTCTTTCCCTTTCCCCCTAACCCTCGGCCGTTTGGTCTCCCCTGCCGAGGGCTTCCATCTGGTTGGGTTTTTATATATTTATGTATTTTTTATGTATTTATTTTATTTTGTTAATATTTATGTATGTTTATCATTTTCATTTACAATTATATATTTATACAGCCCAACCAGATGAGAAAACTATATAGATACCCCACAAAATAAAAAGAATAAAATTATCACAAATGTGAGAAAATGTCTACTTATAGTCCACTTTTGTGGATAAACTTTTAAACCAACAATTGTTGTTGTTTTTTGTTGAATTTTGACAATTTCGTAGACAGATTTATCTAAGTTGTTTTCCGTATGTTCAGGATGACGAGGTGCTGGTACCGTGCGCGCACTTCCACAAGCAGGTGTACGCGACCTTCGGCATTCCGTTCTATACGCGCGTCAAGCACCTCGAGCCCTTCCAGGCCGTCAAGGACCGCCTGCAGAAGAAACTCGACATACCTGACAAGGAGTGGGAAAAGGTATTCGAAATATTATATAGTACTTATTACTTGGCCATATTACACATTCGAGGCCGGTCATCACAGACAATCACAAGTTTAAACTCCTATTTCACAATGTCAAAGTTTGAGTATAGACCATAACATGTTACTGTTCTCAGGAAAAGACAATCAACCTGCTTTGGCTTTGTAGTGTTATCTCTGCCGTACGCATATAGTAACTTTTTGTTACTGTCACTGTCAGTTAACATGAAAGTGTAATTAATATATTTATTAATTTTTAAGTATTAAATTGTATATTTAATGCTTTAAAATTAATATTAGAGCCGTGTCTAAATTGTATATTAGAGCCGTGGTAGCTCAGATGGTTAGCGCTCGCTGTAAATTTCACAGTACACGAGCAAACCGGATTCGATCCCCGCCCCGGCACCAATGAAATTGTTAATTGCAATTTTAATTGCTGATTTACCACGTGCTCGGCGGTGAAGGAAACCTGTATGTTTGAGGAATAAGAGAAAAAAATTCTAAAACGTGAAGTTCGCCAACACGCATTGGGGCAGCGCGGCGGACACTTTCTTGCCTTAAAACCCTCTCAGAAATGAGGAGAGGCCTGTGCCCAACAGTAGGACGTATTTAGGCTGTAACTTTAAGTTGTATATTATAGATAATTTTTATTCAATTCCGCATAGGAGTTTGTTAAGACGAGAAAACACTATAAAGTCAACTGTATCCTAAAAAGCTCTCATTCTAAAAATCGATGTGTAATATTTTAGACCGTATGTTACCAACTGCGTTTGTTATTTTTCACTCTTTGTTTATTTATTATTGCAACAAATATTATTTTAATTAAATTTACTAATTTGAAACTGTGCCAGCATTGCATATATCTGGAGTTTATAAAAATCCCCCTGAACTGTTCGGAATCTTAATATTAAACAAGAACTAGTTGATTATGTAATGCTTTCTGTTACCAGTAGTTTTAAATTAGTTGAAACAGAGACAGATAGCCATTTTATATTGTTATTGTTCAAAAAGTATTTAATGTTAAGTAAGACTTATTGAAAGAAAGGTTCTCGAGTGGCAGCCTCGTACCAGCAGGCGAAGTGTAGGGCGACCCCCCACTAGATGTAATGACGACCTGGTAAGACATGCAGGAAGTCGATGGATGCAGGTGGCTCAGGACTGTGCTTTGGTAGCATTCCTTGGGAGAGGCCTATGTTCAGCAGTGGACTTGTGAAGGGCTGTAATAATGAAATGCTTCTTAAATATTAATTTTTTTATTTATTACAATATATTTATTATAACACATAATAACTTTATTAATATTATTCAAATTCTTGTTTTCAGTACAATTTTGCTATAGTGACAAATGGCAGACCTATTTACATAAGCGAAGGAGTGACAATTAATATATTCGACTTCAGGCCAAGCAGTAACGCAAGTAAGTTACAATTTTTACGCCTTACACAAAACCCCCTAGTGTGTTTTTGTAACAGTTTTAATCCTCCGTAGAATGCGTACTAAAATTAAATAAAGATCTGTCACTTCCAGACGCGACGGGAAGGCCTTGGCTCGGACTCGAGCATATCAACAAGACACCGAAGCGCTCCCGTATCAATTACTTAGAAAAAGCAATCAAGATATATAACTGAGCCATTATATTCGCACCCTGGCTTATTTGATGAGAACACGCTGGTTTTGGTCAGGGGCGAAAAACAAACCACACGTCTCCCCCGGGAGTAATGAATTCTTTTGAATCATGGAACACAGTTTTTATAAATAATTAATATAAAGATGAAGCAATACTACGTTACTGCCGTGCGAAATAGCATTTTAATACATAGCCTTATCCACACGTTATTGTACATCGCTGACAGCAAGTTGACCTTCGCCCCCGCTCTCCATTGTTTATAGATTTCATTAATGATAGTGTGTGTGTGTATCACTGTAAACGCAATAGTTCTGCAAGCAAACACATTTGCTGGCATTGTTAATATATAGTTTTATTATTTATTTCTCCTTTGTATTTTTTAAGGCTGGTGTATATTGAGTCAGCTAACCGGCGCCAGTTCGAACGTCAAGCGATACGTTGAAAGGTGATCTTCAAAACAACTGACTACTATCGACTTGTTTACAGTCTAGTGCCATTGGTACGGAGATTGTGGTAAAAATGGAGGGGGGCACTGATTTCGAAAATATACCGCTCTATTTCGAGTCAGCCTAGACTAGTAAGCGCTGGAATGCCTTGACAAATACTGATATTACTGACTGACGCCTATTAATCACTCAATGTAAATCTGCCTTTAGTTTGGGAAGGGTCTCGTTTTTCAACAACGTGGTAAATTTTTTAATTATTTTTTAGCATTTCCAATTATAATATCGTATTGTGGCTTCATAACTGTTGTAAAGAAACCTATATCAATCTGCTAACAAAATATCAAGTTGTGTGTTATTGTATATCCGGTTTGTTAGGCGGGAAGTAGAATGCGACGCTGCACGATTGTGCCAATCGCTTAAAATTCGAAATTATTTGTTTCTATCGACTGGTTGTTTAGGCTTTTGGTGATTCGGCAAAGTTAACCTTTAACAAATTGAAATAAAATGTATTTTTTTTTGGATTTTAACAAAATATCTTGGAAAGTTTTAATTGTATCACCTATATAATGTAAGTTTTCGCATTTTTTATACAACTTTTCCGTATATATAATATATATGGCGTAATTTGTAGCAAAAATTTGCTCTCGTTCTTGTATCAGTTAAATTAACATGAAATATAGGGGGCTATTCATTGTGCTAACCAATAATTTTTCGATATGACGATGTGATATGATGTTACACTATCATTTCTTTTTTATCGGCAATAGAAGCTAGCTATAATAGATTTTAAACTTATATACTAGAATACAGATCTTGATAGCCTTCGGCAGTGTCAATAAATCAATATATGCCTTATTTTACACCAATGTACATTAAATAATTAATATGATATATAATTATAAAGAACGTACAAAATCACTATACGTATACAGTTAAACTCTACGACTTATTACAAAAAATAGTTTATAATTAGTTTCAGGTTTAAGAAATCTCTTTCATAAAAGAAGTACCGCGGAAAATATGCGAAATATTATGTAAAAAAAATGGAATTCGACGGCAAATGTCAAAACAAAGGGACTTCTTTTGTGAGAAAGACTTCTTAAACCATATTTTAAGCCGAAGACTCAACAAACCATGTTTTGTAATAAGACGTTATCTGTTTGTGCTTATTAGATAAAACAAGTAGTATAAAATCAAAATTTGCATTGAAATACAGCACGTGGACGTAAGGATTACTCAAAGAAACAATCTGCTATAATCAGGTAGCTTCGACTTTGTAAGACTCATTCTAGTATTACTAAAGCCTACATAACTGGAAATTATTTTACGAACTAGTACATATTATTTAACAAATATTTTATTAACAACATTATGTAGAATCCTCAGTGATTTAAATAATAAAAATTGAGGGTCCGAAATTGCGTGGTTTTGTATTTGCTTACGTTTTATATCAATATTTAATGGTTGTGTTCTTTTTTTAAATAATAATAAGCTTTCGTTAATTTAATATATATGATTTCTATATACTTCATCTACTACTGTAAACAAGTCTGAATTATTATTATTTCGATTTGCTACATTATTTGTTAGCTACGTGATAGTAATTTTTAACAATGTTTGTATATAGCTAAAGCTTGAATTGCTATGAAAATATTTGTATTCACATGTGCTTCCTTAAGCAAACAAATCAAATGTTTCCATAATCGAAAATTTCTCTGAAATCACTATGTTGAAATGTGTACAGTAATGTTTAATTTTTGTCGAATTACCAAATTTAATATAAATAAAGATATGCGTTAGAGGAAACAAATGAAATTGGCGAATTGGCAGTCCTTAGACGAGAGTACTTTTATTGCATGTAATAGTGTAACAGTTAGCACTGCATAGTTAGATCTGGCTTAAAGCCATGTCAACAACTGAACATGTATATTTTACTATTTAATTTTTTACTTGACCTGCCCAGAAATGTTACGTTATTAATAAAAATGATTATGTCGAAATTATGTATATATATGATGTAATAAATTAAGAAAACAAAATACAATAAGTTTTTCGTAAAGATGCCTTAGACATTTCAAGATGTTTTAGTATTTAAAACAATACAAATTACTTTATTACCTACCCTTTATGTTCTTTTTCCATACTCAGCATAAATGGCCAATTGCATTGTGTGAGATATACTCTCATTGTTTTACTGAATTTATTTTACATTTTCAGTTAAATCAGTTTTCATTTTTATGTAACAATGTTTGTCGGTTACACTGTTTTAATTAACATAGTTTGAGGTATTTTGAGAGGAAGTTAGTTAAATAGTGGCTTCAATTAATCGCCAAACTTTAATATAATTGCAAATGGGATTATAGTATCTATTAGTTGAGTTACCTACTGAAATGTCTGTAGTAGCCCTCGTGAAGCCGAGTGTAGCGCAGCTTCAAACATTTGGAACCTGTTTCCGATGTTTGCTATGTTGGATTTGAATGTTTCACTGAATATAATCCTATATTTGTTCACTTTGGTTTGTTTTAAACTGTTTATGCGTCCTTGTACATATATATATATTTATATAGAACTTCAAATTTTTATATTCTAAAATTAGATGTCCTGTATTCGATTGGGGAGTTCCAAACTTAAATTAATGTTATATAAAATCAGTGATTACTTGCCCTGCTTTTTCTTTTTTGTTTGAAATCGCTGTCTGCGACCATGGTTTTAATTTTTTTTGTATTTTCAAATAAGTCCTGTCGTGGTCAGCAATGAATGCTGCGCTAATAGACAAGCAATGTCAATGACACCTAGTGTTGCAAAAATGATACGTTATAGTCCAGGAGGAATTGGCGCATGAGTACCGAAAGCTATTCCACCTCAACTTCTTTATGTGATTCTCTTCAAATTATCCTACTGATGATATAAATGTACTATACAAAATTTGACCTGCTCAAAGTTCAAAAACTTTATTAAACTAAGTTTGTATAAGAAGGGTTATTATAATATTAAAGAATTTATAGATGGAAATGAGGTGATCGCTACCAAGCTATTTCTAATTTGTTGTTAATTTGTGTAACATACATGATTGTAAGCTGTTATTTAAAAAAAAGTCCCGCTGGGTTTCTTGCTGGTTCTTCCCAGGACAGAGGTTTTTTCCGAGCCAGTGGTAATTATACAAAAGAGTGACTTTCAATAAGTATTATTTATAATCTATATTGAATAAAAAAGTTTCTAATAGCTTGGTAGCGATCACCTCATTTCCAGGGGTTATTATCATCTATAAATTCTTTGATATTATAATAACCCTTTTTATACAAACATAGTTTAATAAAGTTTTTGAACTTTGGGCAGGTCAAATTTTGTATATTTTCTGGAATTTTGTTGTAAAAGCGTATATACATCGCCCCAAGAATGAATTACTGACTCGATGGAGTCGAGTAACTGGTACTGCTAGCTTGTGTCTGTTCCTAGTATTTACAGAATGAATATCACTTATTTTTGTAAAACTACTTTTATTTTTGTGTACGTACATTACATTTTCATAAATGTATTGAGAGGCCAAAGTTAATATATTAATTTCCTTAAATTTTTGTCGCAGCGACTCTAGGCTTTAAATCATAAATTGCTCTTATGGCCCTCTTCTGTAAAACAAATATAATTTCAGTGTCAGCTGCGTGTCCCTATAGCAAAATACCATACGACATTATGCTATGGAAATAGCTAAAGTAAACTAATCTAGCTGTTTCAACACTAGTTAGAATTCTAATCTTTTTTACGGCATATGCTGCAGAACTAAGTCTGCTTGCTAGTTTTGATATATGGGGGCTCCATTGTAGCTTCGCGTCTAGTGTGATTCCAAGAAAAATGGTGGTATCTGCAAGACTCGGTTTCTCCTCATTTAAAATTATCATCATCATCATCATCATCATTACAGCCCTTCACAAGTCCACTCATAGTATTTAATTGTTTGACATTTGGAGTCATGAATTTCATACATTTCGTTTTAGTGCCATTTAAATGCAAATTATTAACATTGAACCAATTTACTAATTTAGATATAGCATTATTTACTTTGTCATATTTTAGCAATTGTCGACTTAATTTGAAAATTAAAGAAGTGTCATCTGCAAATAATACTATATCATGGTTATCTCCTACTATGTAAGGTAAGTCATTAATGTATACAAGAAACAGAAAGGGGCCGAAAATTGAGCCTTGAGGCACGCCCATTTGTACCATCGACCTGGAAGAACTCATACTGTTAATGACAACTTTTTGCGTTCTCTTACTTAAATATGAAATAATTAATAATAAGAGCATCACTTCTTACACCGTAGTGTTGAAGTTTCCTGATTAATGTTTCATGGTGAACACAATCGAAGGCTTTGGATAGGTCACAAAATATACCCAAAGCATCCTGTGAATTCTCCCATGCATTAAATATATATTTAATCAGCCCAACACCGGCATCAGTTGTCGAGCGACCCCTTGTGAAACCAAATTGATTTTTATGAAGTAAATTATTTATATTAAAGAAATTTGACATTTGATCAAGAATAATTTTTTCAAAAATCTTACTAAGTGTTGGTAGTACAGAAATAGGTCTAAAATTGGCGGGGTTTAATGTACTACCAGATTTAAATAAAGGTTTAAAAACTTTACTATACTTCATTAAATCAGGAAACACACCAGATTCGATACTAGTATTAAAAATAATAGCTAAATGAGGCGCGATTGTATCTATTATAGACGCAATAACTAACGGAAATCCCCCACAGATCCGCAGTTTTCTTAACATCAATAGTTTTAAAATATTTTACAATATCTTTCGATGATACTTTATGAAATGTAAAATTCTTTGTAAACGCATTTACATTTTGTTTAAGTAATGATTCGGCGACGGCAGGAGAAGAATTCAGTGACTTAGTGGTTAATATCGGAATATCAGTAAAATATTTCTCAAAAACCATTGCAACGTCCTGATCTGATTCGGTTAATTTGTTATTAACACTTAACTGGTAGTTTGAATTGTGAGAGTTGATCTATGGAAATTTTAACCTCAACAAGAACCGTGAACTAGAGACTGTAAAGGCAACTTGAAAGTTATACGTGAAAGCGAATTCAACTAAAACCACTCCAAAGTTGCAGATGACTTCATTGTAAGTATAAAAAAAAAGTATAGAGTTAAAAAAATCTGGGTACCGTAAGAACTTACTAAAAGACATCATAACTTCTCTTGGCAGTTTGTCTAAATTTGTTGAAGTTAGAAAAATTTACTTTGCCAACATCCGCTCAATAAAATAAAATTATGTGTCTTACCTAGTTTGAAGAGCACCTCCCGCCCTCACTCAATTGCGTGCACTATCCCCGTCAGCACTAATCCCACCACCACTACTCCCACCACAACTACTCCCACCACCACTACACACATAACAATCTTACTATAAGCATTGTTAGTTCTTTTATATTTTATGAACGCTTTTATTGTGATTTGTCGATATGTAGCTCCAAATGAGGAGCTAAAATTCAAAACGTGATTTGTCACTAAAAAAGAAATTTATGCGCTAATCGTATTCTCTATGGTTACTTGTAAGTAAAAAATGTCATGTAGCTTATTTAATTCATTTTATATTGATTTACAATCGAAAAAGGTCAGAAAATGGACAAAGATGAAGCAGATACGGTAAAAGTTCGTGTAGCAAACGTCGGATCATGGAAACGCAGAGTTACAGGCAGGGCCCGATCTAGCTATTTAGCCGCTCCGGGCAAAGATAATTTTCGCCGCCCTTTACATACACAAAACCATATAAGTCCTGAGCTAGTTATATTGGGGGATGTTAAGTATACAAGTACCTACATAAAATACGTGATATTGTTGGGATTATACCTACCTATAATATGCACGTCAATCTATTGGGTTTTCTGAAGAAGTACCTATACGAAAGTTGATGAGTGTTTTTATGTTAGGAATGTTACGAGCTTGGGGTTCGAGACAATTAAAAACTGCTGATTGAATTACCAAAATTGACACTTTAATTACACAACACTAATTACAATCTAAAACCACACTAATAATAAAACAATTGTACTACTGATCACTTAAGTTCGCAGTTGTTTCGCTTCGAAGTATTCTCTTGTATCGCCAATTGAATACTGCCTCGGTCGTGGTCTATACCGGTCTTATATAGGGCCTCAGATAGTTTCCAGAACCTTCTACTGTAGCGACATCTAGAATGTTCGAGTACATATCGGTCCCGAAATTTCTAGAAGGATCTTGACTCTCCTAGTTCTGCTACTCGACACTAGAGGGCGCTAGTGGGAACTAGTGTTGCCATATACAAGACATTAATAGTGGCGCGCAACAGTAAGTATACAATGTATGTCTTAAAGAGTTTCACAGAAACTACTGAATGGATTGTGATATATCTTTTTATCGACATAGTTATGTACCTTTCAACTTTATCATCATCATCAACCTATTGCGACTCACTGCTGCGTATGAGCCTCTTATCCCTTGTGCCATTTTTCTTTGTCTCAGGCTAATCTTGCCTATGTATGATGACGCTTTAACTAAAGGAACAATAAATATTTTTCATCAAAATCGTTTCAGAAGTTAAAAAGATTAGGGCCAAGCTGTTTAATTGTTTATTATGGCCGATCGGTGCATATGTATTTTAAGTTAAGGTTCATACGGTACGTATAAAAAAGAGCAAAAGATTTGTTTTAAAATTTAATACTGATAAAAAACAATTATGTTACTACAAAATAAATCAGTCATTTTTTAAAATAATGAAATTGTGTAAATTAAACAGTTTTTCGGAGAATATTAAATCCTACCTCGTAATTATCTTCGCAATTTTTGTTCTACAAAATCTTTAATAATATCTGATAAATTTATACTGTCGTAAACCTTGTGTTCTATTGAAATCATAGCCAATCCAGATAATATATTGTGTCATGGTGGATCGTTGATAATTTTTAATTTAGAAAAGCTTCTTTCACCACTTGCAATTGTTACTTGTAAAGTTAAAAGGATCCTGAGCGCAATACTGATATTTGGACGGAATCTTAAATCTGTTACAAATTTCAAAACATTTTGAGGAGATAAATTATCTACTATATAAAAACATACAAAGGACTGACAACTCCTCACAAAATTCTAATGCATTTATATCGCTTGAGTTCTCATGAGTTAAAATAACCTCGAGGTTCTTACAATGTTCTAATAATTCATCTTTTGGTAGTTTTCTTAAGGCATATATGTTATACAAAACAGCAAAATGTTTACTGTGCTCGGAAATCTGGGAAAATCTTAATTCTAAGGCTGTATCCATAATGTGAAAAAATACTTAAATTTTATATTTTTGACGAGGCTCAATAATTGGTTCGTCAACACACTCGTAAGTAAATTGCTTTTTCACGTCTAGGCACATTTTCAAAGTCTAACACCTCGCGATTAATTTCAGAAGCTAGGGCTTTGGCGTCTTCAAGAACTTGAGTAAAATACTCATCTGAACGTGAGTTTTCAAAGAAATCTTTTGTATTTCTTTTTGCCATGTCGTTTGCCACTAAGTTTAAAGAATGACTACTGCAAGGAACGCAAAATGCCCGTGGATTGATGTTTTAAATCCTGGCTTGGACGCCACTTTGAATACCTTTCATATTAGATCCATTAT